GTAGTGTGCGTGACAGCCGGGTCCCAAGTGCGCATGCACAAGAAGCGGTGCTGTTTGTGAATGGTAAGGCGGTACCTGGGACACACGACAGATCCCAGAAGCCGCCGGACCAATCACAAAGAGCAGCACTTCTCGCGCATGCGCACTGGGCATCGGGCTGTCCGCCAAGCGCCCACACTACAGAAGCCGGGTAGACAGCGCGCGGCTGGATAGAGGAACAGGTAAGGTCAAAGAAAAACTCTGCAGAAGTAAGAGCGGGTACCTGTCAAATTCAGGTACCCGCTCCCCCTCCCTCCCCAAAGGTCAGCAGTCATCTCCTGTACTGTCCGCAGTCACTGGTCATCCCTGTACTGTCAGCAGTCACTGGTCATCCCTGTACTGTCCGCAGTCACTGGTCATCTCCTGTACTGTCCGCAGTCACTGGTCATCCCTGTACTGTCCGCAGTCACTGGTCATCCCTGTACTGTCCGCAGTCACTGGTCATCCCTGTACTGTCCACAGTCTCTGGTCATCCCTGTACTGTCCGCAGTCACTGGTCATCCCTGTACTGTCCACAGTCTCTGGTCATCCCTGTACTGTCCGCAATCACTGGTCATCCCTGTACTGTCCGCAGTCACTGGTCATCTCCTCTACTATGTCTGCAGTCCATTAGTTCAGAATTTTTTTTTTCCTGTTTTTTCTGCCTCTAAAACCTAGGTGCGTCTTATGGTCAGTTGCGTCTTATGGAGCGAAAAATACGGTATGTCCAGTAAAAAAAAATTAAAATCAAATTTCATCATAAATTTAGGCCAAAATGTATTCTGCTACAGGTCTTTGCTAAAAAAAAAAATTAAAAAAAAAATAAAATCCCAATACTTGTAAATTAATTGGTTTCCGAGAAAGCTATAGCGTTTTCAAATGGCGGTATATATGCTGGAATCATTTATTTATTTATTTTTTTGTAATTGCGGCGATCAGCAACTTATAGCAGGACTGTGGCGACAGCTGAGGCCTCCAGTGGTGTCGCAGGTAGGGCGCTTGTGCGCACCCCCTACCCGGAAATGCAAAATCACGTGTGTGTTTGGGGCATAAAAGCATTTAGTCAGCCACCAATTGTGCAAGTTCTCCCACTTAAAAAGATGAGAGAGGCCTGTAATTGGCATCATAGGTAGACCTCAACTATGAGAGACAAAATGAGAAAACAAATCCAGACAATTACATTGGCTGATTTGGAAAGAATTTATTTGCAAATTATGGTGGAAAATAAGTATTTGGTCACCTACAAACAAGCAAGATTTCTGGCTCTCACAGACCTGTACCTTCTTCTTTAAGAGGTTCCTCCGTCCTGCACTCATTACCTGTATCAATGGCACCTGTTTGAACTTGTTATCAGTATAAAAGACACCTGTCCACAACCTCAAACAGTCACACTCCAAACTCCACTATGGTGAAGACCAAAGAGCTGTCGAAGGACACCAGAAACAAAATTGTAGACCTGCACCAGGCTGGAAAGACTGAATCTGCAATAGGCAAGCAGCTTGGTGTGAACAAATCAGCTGTGGGAGCAATAATTAGAAAATGGAAGACATACAAGGCCACTGATAATCTCCCTCGATCTGGGCTCCACGCAAGATCTCACCCCGTGGGGTCAAAATGATCACAAGAACGGTGAGCAAAAATCCCAGGACCACACGGGGGGAACCTAGTGAATGACCTGCAGAGAGCTGGGACCAACGTAACAAAGGCTATCATCAGTAACACACTATGCCGCCAGGGACTCAGATCCTGCACTGCCAGACGTGTCCCCCTTCTTAAGCCAGTACATGTCCGGGCCCGTCTGAAGTTTGCTAGAGAGCATTTGGATGATCCAGAAGAGGATTGGGAGAATGTCATATGGTCAGATGAAACCAATATAGAACTGTTTGGTAGAAACACAACTCATCGTGTTTGGAGGAGAGAGAATGCTGAGTTGCATCCAAAGAACACCATACCTACTGTGAAGCATGGGGGTGGCAACATCATGCTTTGGGGCTGTTTCTCCGCAAAGGGGGACCAGGACAACTGATCCATGTACAGGACAGAATGAATGGGGCCATGTATCGTGAGATTTTGAGTGCAAACCTCCTTCCATCAGCAAGGACTTTGAAGATGAAACGTGGCTGGGTCTTCCAACATGACAATGATCCCAAACATACCACCTGGGCAACGAAGGAGTGGCTTTGTAAGAAGCATTTCAAGGTCCTGGAGTGGCCTAGCCAGTCTCCAGATCTCAACCCCATAGAAAACCTTTGGAGGGAGTTGAAAGTCCGTGTTGCCCAGTGACAGCCCCAAAACATCACTGCTCTAGAGGAGATCTGCATGGAGGAATGGGCCAACATACCAGCAACAGTGTGTGCCAACCTTGTGAAGACTTACAGGAAACGTTTGACCTCTGTCATTGCCAACAAAGGATATATAACAAAGTATTGAGATGAACTTTTGATATTGACCAAATACTTATTTTCCACCATAATTTGCAAATAAATTCTTTCCAAATCAGCCAATGTGATTGTCTGGATTTTTTTTCTCATTTTGTCTTTCATAGTTGAGGTCTACCTATGATGCCAATTACAGGCCTCTCTCATCTTCTTAAGTGGGAGAACTTGCACAATTGGTGGCTGACTAAATACTTTTTTGCCCCACTGTATATATAATATATATATCCTAGATTGTAAGTTCGAAAGAGCAGGGCCCTCGAACCCCTCGTGTTTTGTATTGTTACTGTACTGTGGCATGTTCTGTCCCCCTTTGTAATGTACAGCGCTGAGCGAACTGTTGGCGCTTTATAAATACTGTATAATAATAATTATATGTGATTTTGCGCAGGCAGTCCACCCTCTCTCAGTATTTCTGCTATAGGGCGAACTTAAAGCGGTTATAGTGATCGTTGACACGAACACAGAAGAGTATTAGGTTTTACATAGTTTTACCAGGTTTGTTGTCACCTAGACAGGAGGAGAGGGGAAGCCTTCCATTTGGAATGTTTGTTTTGATGAAAGTTTCTAAGAGGAGGAGATTATTCCTTTCTTTGGAGTGAAGTCTTTGTGAAGCTCTCTCTTCCTCAGGAAGTGATTATAGGCCACCCTTTGAGGGGTGGCAGTTGTCTTGTTTCTCTCGCCCCTTTTCTCTTTACATCACCTACTTAGTTTCCCATGTTTGTTATAAAAATCAGAAACCTTTGCTGAGAAAAATAAATGGGCCAGCATTGCTAACTTTTGTTCCATTGCTCCAATTTTGTTGCTGGCCACCGTGTCAGAAAATATTTAAACTTCAGATGCTTGACATATTCAGGAGGGGGTCCACAATGAAAACCTGCATTTGTTTCAGTATGGGTTTCCTTTCCTCAAAATACATATTTTTGTGGCATGTTAAATTGGGCATATTTTTTTGTTTTTGTTTTTTTTAGGACTATTATAAAATTATCAAATGTCCAATGGACATGGGCACCATCAAGAGGCGCCTGGAAAACTATTATTACACTAATGCGCAGGAATGTATCCAGGATTTCAACACAATGTTTACAAACTGCTACATTTATAATAAGGTGAGTGCTGAGGTCTTTGAGTCTTCTAATTAGCTGGGATTTTGTTTGATAATACAGTCCAGCTGCATTGTTGCAAGTGTTGGGTAACAAGAATGTTTGGTCATGTTCTGTCATCTGTCAACATTTTGTTTCACCTCCTTGTGAGCAAGAACCTGCAGTTTCCACAAATTGTGAGTAGATAAATCTGTTGCTTTTTTTAAGGGTACTTGCTCTTGGTCATAATGTTGAATATCAGTATTCTTGGCCAAAAATTGCTTATGTTTATTTTGCAGGAATTTGTATGCATCTGCACACTTATCCTCACGTACATGAGTAAAATAGGTTCTAGCACTCAATTTTTTTTTTTTTTAGGAACCCCCACTTCTTTTAAAAACACTTATTGCATTAAAGGCCCAGTAGGGAGGTTAGGGGGTGAGAGTAATATAACTGCAAGACATAATTACTATGGCCCGCAGTACAGGCACATATATTACCCACTCTTTTGTGCAGCATTAAACACTTTAGGTATTGGAGGCTTCCTCAGCTTAAAGATGTGCCCCTTCCCCTTCCTTAACCACATCTAATGGTTGCGGCATTTAGAGTCACATGGAATCCTGAAAACCTGCTTACAGCGTGGCTTAGGGAGACTTTAGAATGGAGTAGCCATGAGTAATCAACACACACACACACTTTGCAAATTATATTGCAGCTAGTGTTAGTGCAGTTTTATTGTTGGGTTTATATAATTTTGATGTTGGGGTTACCTCAAATATGGCCATTAGTTTTTTTTTTTTTTTTTTTTATATAGACAACTGACTTATTAGCACTTCACTAATTATGGTAACAGTTTTGTGGCTACCTGACATCTGAGTAGAAAGCTATTTTATTTATATATTCCTAACTGCATATGCAATGATTGTTCCTAGCCTGGGGATGACATCGTTCTGATGGCTGAGGCTTTGGAGAAGCTTTTCCTGCAGAAGATTTCAGAAATGCCTCAAGAAGAAACAGAATTACCGATTGTTCAAAGCAAAGGACGTGGCCGAGGGAGGCGGGAACCAGGTGACTGGGGCACAAGGGCAGGCCTTTCAGTGACTAAGTAGTGTGATTAGAGGAATGGTAATGCCATTTTGTTTACTGATAGAGTTGGAAGGCTGGTGCTCATAGATTGATAATGGTGACACCAGTTAGATGAAGCTTTTTGAAGACACACAGATGTTTAAGTGTCTTGTGTGCCTTCTAGATGCCTCAATCACCCCTATGAGGACACGGGTTCCATCAATAAACCAACCTGAGAAGCCTGTCGCAAAGCCGCCGGTGACACGTAAGTTAACATTTTATTAGGGTGCTTTTTTTATATCTAGAATATATTTTTTAATACTATGTCGCTCAACATAAACCTAGTGTTTCACCTTTTGGCAGTTCAACTTCTTTATTAATTTTTTAAAATTCTTCAGCTGTTTCCAAACCTGCGACCCCAACCACTCCTGTGACCCAGGCACCCACCCCTCCACAGACCCGCACCCCACCTGCCCGTACCCCTGCTATTACTCAAGCTCCAATTACATACTCGCCTGCTGTCACTCAGGAAATGGTGGTGCCCACGACAATACCACCCCCTGCTGTTCAGCCTGTTCAGAGCCATGCACCTGTCATCTCGACTACCACCCAGCCGCCCGTAAAGGTGAGAAAAACGGTGAGTTCAATTAGGCCAAGTATTAAGATACATTTAATGATTTGAAGTGCTTAGTAGGTTGGCCTTTTTGATGTGTGCTTTGAAAACTAATAGCTATGCTAAGAAAGATGTTTTCAGCTGACATGGGCCCATGTTTTTTTGCTATAAGTGGGCTTGCTTAAATTTAATACTAAATTTGCTAGACTGCAAGCATAATGTGCTTTAGATAAGAAGGCTGGCTGTATAGCTATTCTGCTGTGTATGTACAAGTACATTAATTTTATATGACCTAGTGTTTTTCTCCTTTTTCTAAATATTTGTTTTCTTGACCACAGAAAGGGGTGAAGAGGAAAGCAGATACCACGACCCCCACAGCCCATGACCCCCTCCATGAATCCTCTCCCCTACCCAGTGATTCAAAGCCCGCTAGACCTTTACCAAAACGGGAGAGTGGTCGCCAGCCTCGGCCAGCAAAGAAAACCGAGGTTCCAGACTCTCAACTTCCTGCACCTCCTGTTCTGCACACCCCAATCATTGCCCCACCTGTCCAGGCAAACAGCAACACCAAGATCTCTGAACAGTTGCTCTACTGTACCGGCATTGTCCGTGAAATGTTTGCTAAGAAACACACCTCGTATGCTTGGCCTTTTTATAAACCTGTAGATGTAGAAGCTCTTGGACTGCATGACTACTGCGAAATTATCAAGCATCCAATGGACCTGAGCACCATTAAGGTGTGAGAAGAATCTGTGTTACATTTCATACTTTATTATGCCACATTGATAGACCGTGCTTATGTCTTGAATTTGGCACATAATCTGATATGTTAATACCTACATACATACATACACATACATTTTCAGTGTTATTAGAAATGAGGATATCAGAGATAACATTAATACAGGGATCAGTAGTATGCTACATACAGTAACTGACTTCCTCTCAAGTAATTCCATTGAGGGGCAATGCAGCCAGTTTTTCTTCAGTCACAAATGACTGTATAAAACAATGTGTTGTACTCCTCAGCACTGAAATGTAATAGCACGTATGCTCATAAATTCCTTATTATCAGCTTAGTGCTTTTGTTCAGAAGCCCTTTAAAGAAGATCTCTTGGAAAGGCTTTAAGTCATTGTACCTATAAAAGGACTGTTCAGTGGTCCACTGTTCTTGGCTCCTAAATATCAGTTGAGGGCTCTGTCAGGTCAGCACCTGGCTCTGGAATCATCAGTGCTGAGCAGTGGTTGTCAAAGTAAACCAGTCACCACAGTGGGCAAATAAAATTGAGCATGTGATGTAAACAGTGCCTCCAAATGCGGTAATGCTCCAATTTTAATAAAATTAAAAATTATACCTTTTTTTTTTTCTTTGGTTTAAAATTTTATATATATATAAATACATTTTTGTTATTAAAGTAGTTATAATCCCTTACATATACAGACAAAAATTACACTTGGTGCTCTGTAGTGACAGGTCCTCTTTATGGAGAGATATGGGGTCACTAAGACCCCACATTTATCCTCTACAATGTAAAGCATTGGACCAAAAAAAGCATCGATCTAGTGCTTTAAAAAAAAAAAAAAAAAAAAGGCCGATATGGGAAGTGACATCGCTCCGGTCCTCCAAGGGCATAAAAATGAGTGGCGGGCATCTTTCCTTCATTCATCTCTATGCCCAGCGCCAGGATTGATGGTTTCTCAGGTAAGGCTGAGAACTACTGAACAGCGGGGGTTTTTCGGCACCTGTATCGGTGCTTTTTTTTTTTTTTTTTTTTTGTCATGTCGGCTGCAGCGTTTCGGCCACTGAAATTTTGGTGCATCCCTAGAAAATATCAGCGGTATTGGTTGGATCAACAGGGATTAAAACTACTTTGTTCCCACCAATGACAGATTTCATCACATAAGTCATCTGTGATGTTCTCCCGCCGTAGTTATTCAGAAGTTAACTTCTATAAAAACATAATGTTAAAATTGCAAATAAACACATCTGATGTTTTTACAGCTCTCTACTTTTCTTTTAACCACTTCAAGTCCGGACACTTTTACCCCCTTCCTGTCCAGGTCAATTTTCAGCTTTCAGCGCTATCACACTTTGAATGACAATTGCGCGGTCATGCAACACTGTACCCATATGAATTTTTTTACCTTTTTTTTGAGACCGATAAAGCTTTATTTTGGTGGTATTCACCACTGGGATTTTTATTTTTTTGCTATATAAATGAAAAAGTCCAAAAATTTTGAAAAAAAGTGTTTTTCTTATAAAATTTTGCAAATAAATAATATTTCATCATAAATCTTGGCCAAAATTTATTCGGTTATCTTTTTAGTAAAAAAAAAAAAAAACCCAAATTAGTTTATAACCTAAAATTATAATTATATTATTATTATTATAATTTTTTTATAATATTTGTTTTTTTTTTTTCTACCTACTGTCACTCTAGCAGTACAGTGTCACCATGGTGATACTGTAGTACTTGGGGGTGATGAAGATTTTTTTTTTTTCTTACACTGATTGCTTTTACACCCATAAAGGCTGTAAAAGCAATAATTTCTTCTTCTCTCTGGCTGCATTCTTGCAGCCATTGAGAACTACTGTGTGAGCTGTGATTGGTCACAGCTTGTCGCATGGTACAAGGCTGTTGTGACATCTTGCTTATTACTCTGCATGTGATCACTGATTGGCCAATCAGTGATCACATGATCGGGACCTCGCACTGAGGTCCCATACGACGATCGGTGTTCCACTGTGTCCGGAGGACACAACGGGCAGCGAAACGCGGTGCTGTGCGCTCCCAGGGAGCGCGCACAGTCCATAATGGCGGGTGCCGTTTATGAACAGCGACCCGCCCCTGGACTGCCACCATCCGGCCGCTTATATACAGCGGCCGGACGGCAAGTGGTTAAAAGTGGAGTCTGGCTTCTCCTGTTCCTATCTTCTGATTCTCCCTATTATTCTGTAATTTCTTTAATTACTTTAATTTCAGCACATTTTAGGCAACAGGATGTCTATAGTTACTCAAAACTATAGCAACTGTCTGTCTCTCTCTGGAACTGCTGATCATTTTAAATGCAATTGTCAATATAGGTTACCTTTGCTTATCTGTGGTGTCATATGCTCAGTTTGATTTGTCCAGCACATGATGGGTTTATTTTAGGAGAGATTATTTGGTTCGTAGTGTTGTATATTTATAGTACCAAGTGTCCAAACAACAAATTTTTATTATTCCTGAAGATCCTTATTAAATTGATAGACCTGTAACGCTTGATGTAACACTGAAGATTGTGACTAGTATCTCTGCCAGACTTGGTGCAGTATATACATACGTTGGCAAGACTTACTGAACATCTTTAAATGGCTAGCTTGTTCTGTTGTCTACAGATCAAGCTGGAGAATAAGGATTATCGAGATGCCCAGGACTTTGCCTCTGATGTGCGGCTTATGTTTTCTAACTGTTACAAGTACAACCCTCCAGACCATGAGGTGGTGGCTATGGCACGCAAACTGCAGGTAACAAGCTGGGGTTTGACAAACTTTCCACAGAGTCTATTATCTTTTAGGACTGTCTGATTGTACTCATGACATGATAGGGTATGTGGCAAGCTTTAGGATTATGGGCAGTGCAGGCTTGTGAGAGTATGTGCTTGCATTCAGCTACCAGAAGCAACTGATTTTTGTGTGTGTGTGTGTGTGTGGATTTAGGACTCGGGAAAGTGTTTATGGGGTGGATAGCGATACTACTACGGGAACCTTTTTTTTACCTTAACCTCCCTAACAGTATTCCCGAGTGTAGCTCGGGGTAAAACTTCTATACCAAAAGCGGTAACCCCGAGCTACACTCGGGCTTACCATGCAGCGCTGTATAGGGAGTCCCTGCAGCACTTACCTTGTACTTCGCTCCAGCGATGTGTTCCCTGCAGCGTCTCCGGCAGATGCCGGCATCCGGCTCCTGTGCTCCGGTCCCTGTGACGTGGGGAGGTACGGGCGCCGCCGGCGGGAAATTTGAAAATTTAAAAAAAAGTCATTTTTTTTTCAAAACGCTTTTACATAGTAAAACATTGCTGTTTCAACCCATTTCACATACATTTTGTCCCTAGTGCTTTGTCCTGTCCCGTCTGCATTTTGAATGTTCTTTCTGCCTGGAAACTTAGAAAAGTCCACGGCGTCCAAAAAGCGTCCCTTTAGGTCAAAAGCGGGTTTAGACCGGCTAGAGAACAGCGATAGTAAATCAGAACCACTTGCAGAATTGAGTGATAATGATTCGTGGGGAAATTTGTCATCAGATACTGAAAACGATTTTGCGACTTTGCTCAGCGATGTGCGAACTTGGCGCTATATATTTCAAATTTCAGTGTTTTTGGTTTGATTATATTATTGAATTAAATGTATTATTATATTATTATTTTTTATGATTATTTATTAAATTATAATTTATGATTTTGTGTTTCAAATTTTATCATACCCGGGATGTTTAATAGACTCTTGTTCGGACAGATTTCAGTGAGTTATTCCTAAATATTACAGCCTACAATAAAAAAACTACATATTTCCATGCAGAATAATGGTACCGCTTTCAGCACCAAAAATCTGAAATAATCATACCGCCGGGGAGGTTAATGCAGAGAATGCATTAAAGTAAAATTTTCACACATTTACAACTGCCTTAATGTACTATAAAACTTGTGTTTTTTTTTTTTTTTACGCCTAACACATTTGAGTACATCTGATCAAATTCTTACCCCAGCGCAATGCTGCTGCCTCCTGCTCTCTGTGCTGCTTCCATGAACATTTGATGTTTTCAAGAGACGGTTAACAGTGGACAGTGCAGTCTCCAGCCTCCAGTCTTTTAGCTTGGAGAAGAGGGGGAGGAGGGAAATGCAGTGAGGTACTTTGCTGTCCTATGCTACAGGGCTGTGTGTTTCTATTGATAGACAAGGTGGAGGGAGACACGACTGTATTCCCTGCATTCAAGGGTGACTCCATAGGATGCTGCAAAAGAAAAGAGTAGGAATCCTGGCGCAGCAATCACTGCACCAGCTTAAACTTGGAATTTAGGGAAGGATTCAAATATGAAGCTGCATACTAAGTAAGTGATTAAATCAGCTGCTGAAAGTGTTTACAAAGGTGTTTTAATGTCACTTTAAGAATCTAGCTATGATAACTTACGGAAGTGGCTGGATCTCAAGAGTAGCTGAACAGATTAGCAAATCCAATGATAGATGAAACCTTTTACATATTTTAATTTGAATATATTTCTAGCTGTTTGGGTTCAAGTTTAGTGTAGGCAGCAACCTGTGATTGCAATGGGGCATAGGTTTACTGCAAAGCACCTGATTAACTGTAAAATATGAGGTGCCTTATTGGGTGAGAAGTTATTCGGTCTCTTGGTTGTTGTGTAGACTGCTCTTTTCTATGCTTTATGCCTCGGCTGTCCAAACGTAATGGATTTGTGTCCACACTGGGAGGGGATTCCTACCTTGTAGGTAGGAGTGTCCATAGCAGTGTCCATTCACCTGAATGGTAGCAACATACAATTGTAATCATGAATATCAATTCCTCTGTCCTGTGCTGTATGCTTTTAAGAAATGAGTGCTACATTTGCACTCTAACACTTATCACTGTCCTTTAAGCTTTTAGGTACATCCCAGTTGTGTAAGTAGAACTGGTTCCTCAAGCTATCCACTTCTGGAGGCCAATCCTCCTCACAGTGAAGGGATGTTCCCACTGGCACAGGAATTCACAGATGACTGGGTCCGCATCGTTGTCTCCAGAGGCTACAAACTGGAATTCAGTTCTCCCCCTCCACAATTTATACGCTCAAGACTAGCGGTTTTCTTTGTGGTCCTGGAAGTTTGCTGTCCTAAGGGGTCATTGCTCATGTCCATAGAGGAGGTCTCAAGCCTTCTATTCCAGCCTGTTCACGAATCCCAAGCTGAAAGGAGACGTCCAGCCTGTTTTGGACCTCAGGGGCCCCAATCATTAAGTATCGGGTTTTTTCAGTGGAGGATTGCTATCAATTTGTGGTGTGGCCTTTCGGCCTGCCTGCAACCCTAAGAGTGTTTACTGAGGTGTTGGCCCTAGTTTTGGGGTTATTGAGAACCTGGAGTGTCCCCACTGTGGGGTACCTGGAAGACCTGCTTCTCAGGTAGCTCTCAGCTCAAACTGTTGTCAGACGGTACAGATCCTGGAAATGTTCATTTGGGTGCTGAACATCAAAAGTCAGCCTTGGTTCTGACACCACACCCTGGGTTCTTAGGGTTAGTATTTAACACGGCACAGGTGAACGTGTTGCTCACACAGATGAAATTCCTTATTCTTGGAGCCCAGAATGTGTCCCTGAGGGCATTGGAAAGTTCCTTGATTCAAACCTGCATGAAGGTATTGGGGCAGACTGTAGCTGCCTTTTGATGCACTCCTCTATGCCCAGTTTCCTTCAGTATTCTGTTGGTGTGGGACAAACATCAGGCGTCCTTGGATCTGCCAATGAACCTCTTGGTTGAAGAAATGTGAAAGTTGCCGATCAACATTCTGGAACTTCGGACGATTCTGCAGGCTCTACTACATTGGTCTGTGTAGCTTCTTCCTGTCAGGGTGCAGTCAGACAATGCCACTCCTGTGAAATAAATCAGTCATCATTAAAAGGACAAACAACACGCTGCTCAGGAAGAAGCGAAACTAATCTTGTCTTGGACAGAGCTTCATTCTGGCCCTCTGTGCTTTGCACATTCCTGGCATGGAAAATTTGCAGGTGGACTTTCTCAGCCATCAGCATCTGAATCCGGGACAGTTGTGGATCTTTCCAGATTCAGTGACAAACTGGAAAGGTTTTTTCACAAACCAGGGATCCATCAGGTGTTTTGCAGTAACAGGAATGCATAACATGAATGGGGTATGCCCACATTGTAAATCTTTTGGCAGACTTGCTGTGCACTGTTTCAGATTGGCCAGACTTGCTGTTGCAGGGTTCAATCTTCCATCTGCTTTGCAGTTGCTGCCTTTTTGACAGCATGACTGTTGAAGCCCATGTCCTGAGAGATGAAGGCAGTCGTCACAGTTTCATAATTCCTACCCTCTTTAAGCCTTCAGGATGGTGTACTGTTGTACATGGAAAGATATATATATATATATATATATATATATATACATATATATATATATATATATATATATATAAATAAATTTTTCTCTTTTACCTGTGAGGTTCAAAGTTTTATTCACAAACCGTATGTCATTGATGCATTATGGCCTTTCCCAGTCTGGTGTGGAGAGGTCCCTGGCTATTAGTAACATCCAAACCTATTGCATCTCATTCCTTGCTTTATGCAGGGTGTAAAGGGTTTTTTTTTTTCCTCCAGTGTGGCCTTCCCCCTGGTCTCTGTGGGATCTTACCTTGTCTTGTCTGTATTACAGACTTCTCTTTTTGAACCTTCAAAAGATTCCCTTGTCACAGGGAATGTTTCTTGGTTCATAAGGCTAAGGTGGTGCTAAAGCATCAATCCCCTTTCCAAAGATAGTTTCTTCATTCCATCTAAATTGGGACATTGTGTTGCCACCTTTTTGTCCTAAACCTACACATTCTTAGGAGAAGGTTCTTCACTCTTTGGAAGATAGAGCTGTCTGGGTTTACCTGAAGTCCACCGCTTCATTTGACAGTCTGAATCTGTTTGCACTACCTGAGGGTCCTCCTAAGGGTCAAGCTGCTTTTCAAACCATTATTATTAGGTGAATTTGTCCAATTATTTTTCTAGCCCTATGGTATTAAGGGCATAGTTCTTCCCTTCCTGATCAAGGCCCATTCTACCAGGAGTGCCAGTGCTCCTTGGGCTATTCAACATCAAGGTTGTGTTTCAGTTTGTGAGGCTGCTACCTGGTCTTCTCTTAACACGTTTAATACATTCTACCAGTTTAGACACCTCTGTGGATGCCAATTCTATGCATAAGGTCTTGAAGGCGGCATTGTAGTGGGGTTACCCCTTTTTCTGATTTTAGGTTATGGCAGTGTTGGTTTTGTTGCTATGTTGCCCACCCATCATGTTTAATGTCAAAAATAGTCATCTTCTGTGTCCTGTGATATACTGTTAGGTTTCTGTAAAATCCTTTTCATAGAGGACAGATCCCTTGTCTGTTACTCCATTGATTGCTACAAAACGGACGATTAGCTGAGTTTGGGATCATGCCTGGACTGGGAAACCTGCCTTTTCTGGGGTTTTTGTTTTTTTCGAGCTAGTTTCCATTTACCTAACAGCAGAAGTATTCATGAATATCAAGTCCGGAGAACATAAAGCTTACTTTTTCGATGAATAACTTTACAAACCTCTGTATCCTATGGACATCTTGAATATTAAGGGATTTAAATATAAATCACTAAAAAATGTGGTTAAATTTACTGTTTATAGAACATCAGTGCTGATTACTAAAAGAACGATTGCTGTTTTGTTGAAGATGGAGGCTTTGTGTCACCCTTCATCATAGATGTGAAAGGAATACAGTGAGTAGTAATGTGCACTAAGTGTTTTCTATGGAATTTACAGGATGTGTTTGAAATGCGATTAGCCAAGATGCCAGATGAGCCAGAAGAGGCACCAGCTCCAGCACCGTCACCCACCCCTTGTCCTCCTGCCCCTTCTGTAAAAGGTCCTCCTCACAGCTCCAGTGATAGCAGCAGTGACAGCTCTTCTGACAGTGAGAGCAGTTCTGACAGTGAGGAAGAGAGAGCACAGAGATTAGCAGAGCTTCAGGAGCAGGTAAGCAAAATATACTGCATCTGTTTTCCCTTGTGACTCTAGTTAGGGAGAATGAACCAATCGCCTTATTGACAAATTTTTTTTACAGTTAAAAGCTGTGCATGAACAATTAGCAGCCCTATCTCAGCCTCAGCCAAACAAACCAAAGAAGAAGGAACGAGAAAAAGCGGAAGGAAAAGCACAAAAGGAAAGAGGAGGTTGAGGAATCTCGCAAGAACAGATCCCGGGAACCTCCAGCTAAGAAACCCAAGAAAAGTGTTCAAGGACCAGTGGGAACTCCCAGGTATGATGGCATCCATCTCTATGCTCTACTAAAATGTCTTTACAATAAGAAAGCTGCATTGTATGCCCTCTTCTTTCTGGGAGATACAACCTTCACGATAGAGAATGAGAATAATTAAAGAATTCGAACTGGTGCTCAGGATTCTTGGACAACTTGTTTTCCAGTTGACCCCGTTACCAAACGTATTCCAGTGGTTGCCTACCAGGTTAAGATGGTGCATTTGTTTACATACTTGGGGATTAGAATCACCCCAGATACCTCCAACATATACAGCTTTAAATTATAATTCCGTACTGCATACATTTTAGCAGAAAACCGAAAGCTGATGTAAACTACCACTCGCGGTAATGGATAGAATTAAAATGGTATGTGCCTCACAATTGTTAGGCCTCTCTGTTTTGATCAGAGTGAGCAGATGACAGGTCAATGTCTGCTCAGTTTATGCAGAGGGGACATGGGACTGAGCCCTATGGGCTGCCCTCTGATCTGCCTAGATGGAGGACGACAGATCCCCTTCCATGTTTTTTTTTGGGGGGAGGGGGCAGAGGACAACGCTGTTGGAGGAGGGGCAGAGGACAACGCTGTTGGAGGGGGGGCAGAGGACAACGCTGTTGGAGGGGGGGCAGAGGACAACGCTGTTGGAGGGGGGGCAGAGGACAACGCTGTTGGAGGGGGGGCAGAGGACAACGCTGTTGGGGGGGGCAGAGGACAACGCTGTTGGAGGGGGGACAGAGGACAACGCTGTTGGAGGGGGGGCAGAGGACAACGCTGTTGGAGGAGGGGGGGCAGAGGACAACGCTGTTGGAGGAGGGGGGCAGAGGACAACGCTGTTGGAGGGGGGGCAGAGGACAACGCTGTTGGAGGAGGGGGGCAGAGGACAACGCTGTTGGAGGAGGGGGGCAGAGGACAACGCTGTTGGAGGAGGGGGGCAGAGGACAACGCTGTTGGAGGAGGGGGGCAGAGGACAACGCTGTTGGAGGAGGGGGGCAGAGGACAACGCTGTTGGAGGAGGGGGGCAGAGGACAACGCTGTTGGAGGAGGGGGGCAGAGGACAACGCTGTTGGAGGAGGGGGGCAGAGGACAACGCTGTTGGAGGAGGGGGGCAGAGGACAACGCTGTTGGAGGAGGGGCAGAGGACAACGCTGTTGGAGGGGGGGCAGAGGACAACGCTGTTGGAGGGGGGGCAGAGGACAACGCTGTTGGAGGGGGGGCAGAGGACAACGCTGTTGGAGGGGGGGCAGAGGACAACGCTGTTGGAGGGGGGGCAGAGGACAACGCTGTTGGGGGGGCAGAGGACAACGCTGTTGGAGGGGGGACAGAGGACAACGCTGTTGGAGGGGGGGCAGAGGACAACGCTGTTGGAGGAGGGGGGCAGAGGACAACGCTGTTGGAGGAGGGGGGCAGAGGACAACGCTGTTGGAGGAGGGGGGCAGAGGACAACGCTGTTGGAGGAGGGGGGCAGAGGACAACGCTGTTGGAGGAGGGGGGCAGAGGACAACGCTGTTGGAGGAGGGGGGGGCAGAGGACAACGCTGTTGGAGGAGGGGGGCAGAGGACAACGCTGTTGGAGGAGGGGGGCAGAGGACAACGCTGTTGGAGGAGGGGGGCAGAGGACAACGCTGTTGGAGGAGGGGGGGGGGGCAGAGGACAACGCTGTTGGAGGAGGTGGGGGGGGGGGGGGCAGAGGACAACGCTGTTGGAGGAGGGGGGGGGGGCAGAGGACAACGCTGTTGGAGGAGGGGGGGGGGGGGGGGGCAGAGGACAACGCTGTTGGAGGAGGGGGGGGGCAGAGGACAACGCTGTTGGGGGAGGGGGGGCAGAGGACAACTCTGTTGGAGGAGGGGGGGCAGAGGACAACTCTGTTGGAGGAGGGGGGGCAGAGGACAACTCTGTTGGAGGAGGGGGGGCAGAGGACAACGCTGTTGGAGGAGGGGGGGCAGAGGACAACGCTGTTGGAGGAGGGGGGGCAGAGGACAACGCTGTTGGAGGAGGGGGGGCAGAGGACAACGCTGTTGGAGGAGGGGGGGCAGAGGACAACGCTGTTGGAGGAGGGGGGGCAGAGGACAACGCTGTTGGAGGAGGGGGGGCAGAGGACAACGCTGTTGGAAGGGGGTCAGAGGACAATGCTGGGGGGGGGGGCAGAGGACAACGCTGTTGGAGGAGGGGGGGCAGAGGACAACGCTGTTGGAGGAGGGGGGGGCAGAGGACAACGCTGTTGGAGGAGGGGGGGCAGAGGACAACGCTGTTGGAAGGGGGTCAGAGGACAATGCTGGGGGGGGTCAGAGGACAACGCTGTGGAAGGGGGTCAGACGACAATGCTGGGGGGGGGGGGGGGTCAGAGGACAATGCTGGGGGGGGGGGGGTCAGAGGACAATGCTGGGGGGGGGGGTCAGAGGACAACGCTGGGGGGGGGGGTCAGAGGACAATGCTGTTGGAGGGGGTGGGCGGGGCAGAGGACAACGCCGTCAAGGGGGTGGGCGAGGCAGAGAACAACGCGGGGGGGGGGAGACTCTGATGAAAAATTTACAGAGGTCACTGTTTTGGGGGATGGGGAGGCATAGAACTATTCTTTCAGGGGGCAGAGCAGCAGAGGACAATACTGTAAGTGGGTGAGGAGGAGGGGTGATGTGAAGGGGGGCAGAGGACAGTACTGTGACACACTGTGTTCTTCATGCCGTCTTGTTATTGGGAGATTGATGGTGGTTTTTTTTTTTTTGGAGAGCCGCCATGTTGTTCAGGTAGCCCAATATTCAAATTGTAAACTCTGCAATTCCTTGAGGACTCTGGAGGTCTTGCAGTACCCAACACTTTACTATAACACTTTACTATATTTTCTAGCTTCACAGCTACAGCACATTGCTGGACGGGACTTTGCAATTTTGTTGACCCGATTTCAGAAAATTTTATTTACAATATTCCCAAATGGAAAATTGATAGATAACCTAGAAGCAGGAATATTTCATTTAATTTACTAGTTGACTCACCCACTCTGCTAATGCCTGTTTTGAAGAATTACATAAGCTCTGGACTATTAGTTAAAGGGCTTTGAGGCATGGAACGAATGAGGAGTGTTTCATATCCCTCATCTCTATTGTAACCAAACTTTTACAGCTGAACTTTGGGCAGTGATTTTTTTAAAGTATCTGTAATGGTGCTTTCTTATTTAGGACAAATTTCTTTAACAGGTATAATGATCATGAGATATACATGTTTATTCTCCCGCTCTGTAGGCCTGATTCACCTTCACATCTCTTTTGTTAGACCAGTGGCTGCTGTGCCACCTATCCTCATGGCCACTGATCTTGTAACTTTCCCACTGTAGTTCCAGTACTATCAACTACTTTCCCTCTGGAATATTTACAGTGCTGTTCCCAAATGAAATTTATGCCCTTTTTTTCCCCACAAATAGAGCTTTGTTTTGGTGGTGTTTGATCACCTCTGCGGTTTTTACTTTTTGCGCTATAAACAAACAAAAAAAAAAAAAGACCGACCTTTTTGAACCTGAAAAATATTTTTTATTTTCTGCTATAAAACATATCCAATAAACAAATTTTAAAAATCAAATTCATAAATTTAGGCCAAAATGTATTCTGCTGCATATTTTTGATAACAAAAAAAAAAAATCTAAATCCCAGTAAGTGTATATTGAGTAGTTTGCGCAAAAGTTATAGCGTCTACAAATTATGGTACATATACTGGAATTAAAAAAAAAAAAAATCTTTTATAGTAGTAATGGCGGAGATCAGCAACTTGTTGTGGGACTGTGATGTTGTGGTGGACATTTTTAAACTTACACTAACTTGACACTTTGTGGGAACCAGTGACACTAATACTGTGATCAGTGCTAAAAAAATATACATCACTGTACTAATGACACTGGTTGGGAAGGGGTTAGCATCTAGGGTGATCAAAGGGTTAAGTATGTGCCTAGCTATGGGTTTGGTGTACACTAGGTGGTGCTTTTATTATGGGAAGTGATAGATTGTGTTCTCAGTTCTGCAGAGACACAGGATCCATGACTCCCTCCTATCACAACAGGGCTGTGCCTATGTAAACATAGACACAGCTCTGTTTGTCCTCCCTGACCAACGATCTGCAGGAGCCTGTAAGCAACTGGTCGCTGAGACTTGTAGATTGGTTTGTTCTGTGACATTTCACATCAGAAGCGATCCTCTGGCGGCACGTGTGTAGCGGAACTGCAATATCACGTGTATATATACGTGATTTTGCACAGGAATGCTGCCCTGTAGAAGTAAAACTGGTATAGGGTGGATGTAAAGTGGTTAAAGCACACCATGATGTAATTATGTCACCAGTTGCTGTAGTGGCCGAACCTGGGCGTCTCAGACTCCTGGACTGATTCACCCATTCCATATGCATCATTAGCCACAGCTCTGAGTGCAGCTTGGCCCCCTCCCCACCATCCTCTCAGCTCCAAGAAGCTTCGCCCCTTGACCCAGACCATCACTTCCTTCACTTTCCATTGCATGAAAGGAAATGTAAGCTAGTTCTCCAAATGAATGTAATGTGTGAAAACCAAAAGCCCTTCTCCTGGCGCACACAAGTATGAATTTTATATATATCCCATTTAAGCTGGCCCATATTTTATCATTACTGCTCTTTTAGGAACATAAATTCATGATATTGTATAGCTATAGCTGGTACTTACCAGTCCAAAATTCTATAGTTCTATAGTGGGTCTGCTGTCCTGTTTTATACCTACAGTGCTTGCTGGTTGCACTGCAACCTCTACGTTGTGACATAAGAAGAATAAGGAACATATGAGGTAAAGGTTAAGTTCACCTTTCTGAACATATTACATGTTACACCCATATTTAGGGTCTAACATGTTCAGCATCCACCACCTCACCCCCGATCCCTCCCCCATTCCCTGTGACAGCGGGTGGGGAACCTTCTCCCCTCACCCGTTGCCACAATTTGAAAACAGTTCTATGAATAAATGAACATGACTACCATCAGCCATTGAGGCAGACGGCTTGTAGTTTGCAAGTCACTACGAGATCGCTCGTGAGCAGCCTTGTAGTTCATTTCTGGACTTCAGGAACTGCCTGCCTGTATCAGAGGTATGGGCAGGCAGCTATACTGACAGTCTGCAGGATCGTGATATTGCACCCACAATCTGATTAGTAGGTGCAATGCTTTACGGGCTCCAAAGAAAAAACAAAAAAATACATTTTCTTTTTACCTACAAAAAAAATATAAAATTTTTTTTTTTGTGTAAACTTAGCCTTTACATTGGCAATCCCATTGAAATATTTATTTACTTTTTTTTTCCTTTCATGAAATCTCCATTTCTTTCTGCAGTATTTAAGTGATTAAGATAACCACCTTTCTGCATGGTCTTTTCTTTTAAGCAAACCTGGGAGAATAGAAATATATTGCTCCCATTCGTTGTTTTTGCGGTACAATGCCTCTAAAGCTGTCATCCTGATCCTGGCTTTACTACCTAGTTAGATGCTGCCTTGGAATAAATGGAGGGCAAGAGTTCAGAATTTCAAGTTGGCTACATGCTTTTTAGGTATGTGAAACCAAGATTAAGATGAAAGATTCAGAGCCTGTGTCATTTTGTTGAAAAGAAAAATAACCAGTTACCATATGGCTGTGATTACAAGTTCATTTAAATTCATACTTTGTTACATGCTTTTGCCTTGATTCACTTTTTCCATCTGATTATGACCTTGATTAACTTGCCTCTTTTGCCCTGCTAGCATTAAAAAAGAAGCCGCTCCCCCAGTGTCACGCCCAGCACGACCTGCACCTCCACCTGCACCTTGTGAGTCTTCAGAAGAAGAATCGCAGAGATGTCGACCGATGTCTTATGAGGAAAAGAGACAATTAAGTCTGGACATTAATAAACTCCCAGGAGAAAAACTGGGCAGAGTAGTACACATCATCCAGTCCAGGGAGCCATCGCTCAAGAACTCTAACCCAGACGAGATTGAAATAGACTTTGAGACCCTTAAACCGTCCACACTGAGAGAGCTGGAAAGATATGTCACCTCTTGCCTAAGAAAAAAAAGGAAACCACAAGGTGAGACGCAGGGCAGGGAACTTTCTGGCATTATAGAATGCTTAGTGATTATTATAAGCTTTAAAGAAAACCCTAAAGGACATCTTACGTCGCAGCATACACTCATATTTATTATTTATATATTATTTTTTAACGTGATCATTGTAATAACAATACAGTCTATAGTTATTTTTGACAATCCGTTATAAGCTTACTTGAAAAAAAAAAAATCTTTCATGCTGTGACTGCTTCCCATCTCCCGGTTATCGCCTTCCACAACTGATTTGCGGCTTCTCTGCTCATACCTTTTGGTTTACTGTCAATTTGTAAGGGCTACATATCTCATAGTATCTTGCTGCCTGCAAGCAGTGATTCCGGTATGTACTGTGCCTCCTCTTGGCACCTTTGTAGTTCAGGCAGCAGGCCCTGAGAAATATGTGACACAGCAGCGCATATTCACAGGGCAGCTTTTGAGGGGCATTTATTCAGCTTTAGCTTCATTTTGGAGGTATTGCAGGTATGAGATATCAACACACACAGGGCATCTGCCAAGCTTCATTAAAGCTTCAAAAAAAGCACCACCTAAGCATAAAAAAAAGCATGTTGGAGCAGTAGATGCTTTAATGTGTGTTGAAGTCAAAGCAAGTGTAAATGAGCCCTAAAGAAGCTAGTAGTCCAGAGCAATGATTTACAGCTGAGACTGAAGAGAGTGCAGGTTCAGTAGCATGGAGATGCCAAAAAAAAATTAAAAGCGGTTTATGGGGAAAGAAAATGGCAATTGTTTCAATGTATTAGAAAATTAAATGTCACCCAGTTAGGGTTGGGTTTAGAGCTACTTTAAGTGGGGTTAGTGTAAGAACATCTGCCTGGTTCAGATTCTTATTGTGGTCCCTTAACCCATTGGGGGGATTTCCCAATGTCATACCCTGATTACACTGTATGTATCAAGCTGTGAGATATTGTCATTTTCCTAAGAAGAGATGAGGTTTCCTGCAGTTGAACAAAGCAGCAGTAAACTGACAGAAGATGTTGTAATACACCCCCACTTCATCCAAAACCTGTCAAAGTTTGACTTTACCTAAGTTGAAACCAGGCCTTCCTATAAGGCCCCTCTGGGCTAGAGTTTTTTTTTTTTTTAAATCCTAGCAGTGGCCCTGTATTTAGCAATACTGTTAGCATTAATTATGATGTAGAATTAAGTTAACGTTTTTTTTATAGAGTGTAGTGCGTACAGGAGTTTCTCTTGGTGGTATTGACTTTTAGTATTCCATCTATTTTAAAATAGAAAATGTTAAAATAAATACACAAAGACTTGATGTGGTTAAAAGAGTCCCATATAGACTGTGCAGCCCCTTCCTGTGAGCGGTGACTGGTAGTAGTTTAGGGTTTTGTTTAAGATATCCTTCCAGATCTAATCCAAATGCACAAAAATAAATCTTAAGTAACATCTAATGTATTTGGAATACCGCTAACTTGTTGAACAGCAGGGATTTATGCCCAAATATTTGTGTCTAATGAACATACCAGCTCAGGCTTCACATAATCCTTTACAATTGTGCAGGCAATTTTTAAATACTGAATTGCAGTTGTTTTTGTAAATGGCAGATACCAGAATAATATTTGAGTTTGTTTTTTGTGGTTGCTAACTTAGTCTCTTTTTACAGATAAAGTTGAAGCGCCCACATCCGGTTCTGGTAAGGGGAAAGGTTTCTCCTCTTCTGAGTCTGAAAGTTCAAGTGAATCCAGCACCTCGGACAGTGAGGAGTCAGACCCAGGTAGCACAATCTCACACTATTCAGGATGAAGCATCTAGGGCCTGTTTTCACCTGACCTTGGAAGCGGAACTGCAAACAATGTTTCCATAATGATATTCTTTACTTTTCAGAAACAACACATAAACAGAAGAAAAAGAGTCACTCAGGGAGAGAGTCTAGAAAGGTAATTCTAGGCCATTGAAGTTGTTAAACTTGAAAATTGTACTTATGCGTTATAAAATGCTGATATACCCAGCATTGGTTTTAAATGAAGTGTAATGTTCTTAATTTGGCATCCATTCCTGTCCATGGGTTTTTTTCCCCAGGAGATGTGGCACTATACTGTGCCTGTTTGCATTGTTCTAATGCTTACTGTAAAAATATCTGTTTTCCTGTAATATACTATTTTTGAATATGGGCTCCAGTTTGAAGGTGCTAAATATCCAAAAGTTTTAGGTTCCTTTTCTTGTTTACCCAGCTGTCTTAGGCCTGTCAAAGTTATATGTTAACCTTTAAAGCAAAGGTTCATAAATATACTTTTTAACTGATAAAGTATTGCAAGCTTTTTCTTAGCTAGCGGGAAAGCCACAGTAGTAATAACCTACATTTGCCAGTTTCTTGTGCCTTTTGGGCTTCTTGTAATAGGGTGACAGCGCTAACTTTGTTTTAACGTTCGCATTGTCACCTCAGTGCACCTGATATCTTACCTGGTGTTGGGCTGTGGCTTCAACCCTTGCATTGTCAAGCAGTGCTTGAATGGATTTGAATCCTATAGAGCAGTGGTACTCAACCTTCCTAATGCCGTGACCCTTTAATACAGTTCCTCATGTTGTGGTGACCCCCAACCATAAAATTATTTATCCAGTAATTATAATTCATGAAGTGTCGTTTTACCTCCAATACTGCTGCTTTCAACACAGTAGCTGCTTTTAACAGAGTAGCTGCTTTCAACACAGCAGCTGCTTTCTACACAGTAGCTGCTCTTTACACATCGGAAATATGTGTTTTCCAATGGTCTTAAGCGACCCCTGTGAAAGGGTTGTTCGACCCCCAAAGGGGTCGAGACCCACAGGTTGAGAACCACTGCTATAGAGGAAGTTGGCAGTCTGTGATGTGCTGTTCAGGAGCACAGAGGGGTCTGCAAAAGCACCTGGGGCTTATGAAGCCTGTAATTAATATCACAGAAAGTGATGTAGCACTGCAGCTTCTCTAAGCCCGTGGCACTGACCCTGCAGGTGGTGATGCAGAAAATGCGTGGTTGTGTGACCAACACTGGGGGAACAAAAACTGAAGCAAAACTGTAGAAAACTTTATCTTGCACAGGACATAGGCAGAATATTCATACACCATAGATTATAAGCATGTATCTTTAGGTGATTGGGCACTAGCAAAGGTTTAAAAGACATGCCTGACCCCCCACCCCCCAGGCACCTCCCCTATAACCCCCACTCCTTTGAGTCCCCAGTTTTGTGCTAGTGTCTGAAAGTGATGGACCTTTTCTCCTTCCTGGAAACTCACACTTGGCTTAACTAGTTTATTATTTTTCTTATTTTTCCTTTCGATTTTTCATCTATCCCTTACTGTCTTCTAATCCCAGCATAGAAGCAATGCATTTGGATTAAACACAAACCAAATAATTTCTTTGCGCTAGCAAAAACAGAAAATAGAGAGAGACTGCTGCATCCACTACACAATCTAAATACTAGATGTAAAAAAACTGCTTAAAAAAGGGTGCGCTGTCTCTTAAAAATTTCAAAGTGCAATTGTGCATACAATATAACAAACCATATTATTATAGAGAAAATTGATAATGTGAGCTCAGTGTATGCAATAACCTAAATAAATCTAAAGATAACATCACAAATAAGGTTGTGTTAAAACACCATACTCAACTTCAGGGTGGATTTGATTTAAATCAAACTGATTTAAATCACGATTTAAATCACTAGTCAGTAAGGCTTGATTTAAATCCTAGTTTTCTACATAAAGACTAATTCTTGCTGGTATAACTTTAATATGCAAGTAGATGAAGATTTTTAGAATAACAACTTTTCATATTAGTTTTTTTATCCCCAGTTTAATAGGTTTATCAGTTTAATAGGTTTTATCATTCATATTTGGACAACTTTTCTGTTGTACTTAGGAAGGAGAAAAATAATCATTACCTTAATAACAATTTAATAGATTTATTCAACTGAAACAATAACATTCCAGCATATGTTATTTGCTTAAACAAACATCCATGTTTGGTAACTAATTTGGCTAAACAAAATATATATATTTTAAGAAACTTAGACTGTCAGCCCCTTCCTCCTCACACTTAGTTTCACTTTCTTCTTGTGCAGATCTATTCCACTCCAAACAATCAGAAAAATATTGTTTCTATTCTATTCACTGAACTTCTTGAAACTTGGCACTGAAGGGGTTGATTCTGTATTCATAGGTTTGTAGAAGTTAGGATTAAGGTCTTTTTCTTAACTCTGTTCATGTTGTAACATTTTTGCTGTGAAGAAGAGGCATGTGATCTCCGCTGAGTCAAATTCAGTTTTGAGAACTGCAAAAGTAAACCAATCATCTGTGATAATATCTTGTAGGCAGAGAAACTGCCCAATATTCTTACAAAAACCTCTGGAAGAGCATGACATTGTGAATGGATTCATGGAATTTATTTACCAAAAAAATTAAACATATACAGCCTTATTCTACATAATTAAAAAACTAATCTTTATTTCATGATGGAATAACCTTTGGATGGTAATATATTTTCCTCAAAAAGCATTTTATTCAAAAAAATACGATTTTAAATAAAAAAAAAATCCAATTTAAATCAAAAAAATCCGTTTTTTTTTTTTTTTTTTTTTTTTAAATCATTGATTTTTTATCCACCCTGCTCAACTTTAAAAAAAATAAACCTAGAAGAGTGTATATCCGTACAGATGGACAAATGTGGATATGGACAATAATAAGCTAGATGCCTAAATATGTCAAAAACACTCAAACGTGAAAGGTGTATTTGATATAACCCAGTACTCCACTCTATAAATAGAAAAAACATTTAAAAAGTGTATAGGTGTACAGATGGACACATGTACATATAGACAAAAGTTGAACAAGCATAAAGAAAAATGTATTATTTAATATTGCAAACAAAGTTGAAGATGAAGCAACCAAATGTGCAAAATGTCCGTACAGATGAATAAATATCCTGGTGAACATTCCAAAATCAAGATGGAAAATCCCAAAGAAAAAGGAGACACACTTCAAAGTTTAAGATGCAGAGCATTCAGTACTGCTGAAGTAGAGCTTGCCCGGAAATCACACCACCCACATGTAAGGTGAACTTACCGGAGACACTAATTCCACATAGAGATCATGAAGCGCCTTGCTGTCCACAGCACAAAATATTCAGACATGCCACTCCATCTAGATACAATTATGTGTAAGTGTGCTCAGCACAGAGGAGTTAAAAGGACCACCATAGTGCAGTATGTTAAAACCAAGGGCTTGTAATATGGCAATGTACTTACAATAAGAAGACAATCACAAGCATTTAACAAACGATGAGCATCACCAGATTCTGCCAGCGTGCATAATAGCGCCACGTGTTTAGCCCTGCCCTAACGCGTTTCACTGTAAACAGCATTTTCGGAGGATAGAGACAGTGTTTAAGTTTAATCACCCAAATCTTAGTTTTAGTTGACACCATTGGTTGCGTTCTTTTGACATCACTTCCACCTAGAGACCATTTACTTCCTAGAGTACTTTCTAGAGTTCCACCTAGAGTACTCATTTGCTTCCTCCCACCCTTTCGCCAAGGTCATTCATTACAGGAGAGTCCACACTTGGGTTACTGTGTACCCCTCACGGACGCGCTTACCCCGTACTCCGCACCCTATTCTGTGTACCCCCAAGGGGAATACCCACTCTTGTAGATATGGCAGAGACCTGGTCAAAAGTGACTCAAGGCAGAATTGCAGATAAACATTCGTTCTAACAAAGGCTGGCACAATACTTGACCTCAAAATAATGATGCATCCCTTACGCTGGAACAAGCATGCAACAAAAATTCATTTTAACTATAGTAGTGTTTTCTGCAAAAATGTCACATTTTCTCAAACAGGTTATGCTCTGAATACAGCCATCTCAACCCAGGCCCCAAAAATACCAGGCCTCATCTCCTCAGTTTCTCAACTGTAGTCATATCCTGATATGCCAGTTCTAGTGGACATTTTTAAGATTTTTCTCCCTACAGTGTCATTGTAATAGGGAGTTTCATCATGCTTGCTAACATTAAAAAGCTAATTTCCTGTGTCCGTAAAAGCCTTGACATTGTGTAAGTTGACTCTCCTTAGTCTTGCCATTGTCCTCTGGGTACAGAGACTCAAGAAACCCTGCAAAGCATTCCCTGTTCATGAACAGGTGGCAGCTGGGTCACACCTGAAGTATTTTCACTCCTCCAAAAATTTATACTGAACTCAGTGTAAAAAGAGTTTGCAAAGACGTAGGCTATTGCTGTAGTTGACCCTGCTGTCTCTATCCTAAACAAACATCACTGTTATCTATTGAAGATGTTCCTACTAAAGATTCTGCAAGTAAAAGGTTTGAGATGCTCCTGAAACCTCTTTAATCTTGGAGGCCCAGCCCTGAAACCAGCTGTTGCTGTAGTTCCAGTATGTCAACTGCATCTATTTGGATTAGGACAATGAACAGTCAACATGACCCTGTATTTCAGGGTCATGCTGTTACATAGCAAATACAGCAATTGCCTTCTGATCTACATTTTTGTGTAGATGCCCTGCAGTACATATCATGACACAAATATCCAGAATGACTTTAATCCCCATTCACAGGCACAGAATCTTTTGGTTAAAAGCTTGGACAGCTGAAGCTGCCTGCAAAATATGCCTCACAGAAATGCCTTTCCAAGGAAGCAGTCTGGTATGGCACGTTACCAATTTATCAGAGGTCACAGGTGGGAAGGTTTTATTTCCACAATGGAAGATCCTAAAACCACCTTCAGTAGCCATTAGCTCTTCATAACACAGACCACCTGTCCACAGACACAAGGCTTGGCCTGCCAAGGCTGGCAAGCCTTATCCAAAAACGCTCCTAATAATGAAGGGGTTCCCCCACTCCTAAGAATCTGTTACAGTTTGCCTCTCTAGGTCACAGACATCCCACACCTGTGGGTTCAGTTGGTACAAAATAGTGTTCAAAACTACCACCTCACCGCTTTCTTCCTTTAAATCAACCAAAAACTGCTCAATGAAAGTTAGGTTTGAGAAATGCCCTGGACCACCTCTAGTCCTAGGGAGTCAGTGTGCCAGTACCACCACAAAACCGGTTCAAAGGATTTTACTCAGACTGTTCATGGTATCCACGCCTTGTCCATTATTTTTCAAATGCCTCTGACTTTGCTCTCCTTTGTTTAACCACTTGTCCTCCAGAGGATTTACCCCCTTTCTGACCATGCCATTTTTGCGATACGGCGTTGCGTTACTTTAACTGACAATTGCACAGACATGCAGCGCTGCACATAAATGAAATTTATGTAATTTTTTTTGCCACGAATAGAGCTTTCTTTCAGTGTTATTTGATCACCTCCTGCGGTTTTTATTTTTTGCGCTATAACAAAAAAAGACCAACAATTTTGAAGAAAAAAAATATATTTTTGACTGCTATAAAACATATCCAATGAAGAAAAATTTAAAAATCTAATTTCTTCATAAATTCAGGGCAAAATGTATTCTTGCTATATGTCTTTGCTAAAAAAAAAAAAAAAAAAAAATCCCAATAATTGCATATTAATTGGTTTACTTGAAAGTTATAGTGTCTACAGATGGCGGTATATATACTGAAATTTTTTTTAAAATATATATATATTTTTTTTATGGCGGCGATCAGTGACTTATAACAGGACTGCAGCGGGCATTCTGACACTGGGCGGGAACTGACTAACTGCCACTGACATCCCCAGTGACACTAATACAGTGGTCAGTGCTAATAAAAAGCACTGATATTGTACTAATGAAACTGGACAAGAAATGTTTAACATTTGGGGAGATCAAAGGGTTAAATGTGTGCTGTGTGTTTTACATGGTGTGCTGTTTATCTTGGGAGACATGTTGCTTTCTATCTCTGCTGTGCAGAGACGCAAAGTAGCATGTCCATGCTGACAGGAGAGAGACCTGTGTTTACACACAGGTCTCTCTCCTGTTAGCTTTGCCAACGATTACCAAGAGCCGGCTGGGAATCACCGTCCAGGACCTGGTGATTGACATCCCCAGCCGCCAATAGAGGCGAGGGTAGGGCGACACACGCCCTCTACCCGGAAATACAAATTACGTATATACAGTGCCTTGAAAAAGTATTCATACCCCTAGAAATTTTCCACATTTAGTCATGTTACAACCAAAAATGTGAATGTAGTTTATTGGGATTTTATGTGATAGACCAACACAAAGTGGCACATAATTGTGAAGTGGAAGGAAAATTTACAAATCTGTGAAAAGTGTGGTGTGCATTTGTATTCAGCCCCCTTTAATCTGGTACCCCTAACTAAAATCTAGTGGAACGAATTGCCTTCAGAAGTCACCTAATTAGTTATCCGTATAAATACAGCTGTTCTGTAAAGCCCTCAGAGGTTTGTTAGAGAACATTAGTAAACAGCATCTTGAAGACCAAGGAACACACCAGACAGGTCAGGGATAAAGTTGTGGAGAAGTTTAAAGCAGGGTTAGGTTAGAGAAAAAAAAATTCTAATCTTTGAACATCTCACGGAGCACTGTTCAATCCATCCGAAAATGGAAAGAGTATGGCACAACTGCAAACCTACTAAGGCATGGCCGTCCACCTAAACTGGCAGACTGGACAAGGAGAACATTAATCAGAGAAGCAGCCAAGAGGCTCATGGTAACTCTGGAGGAGCTGCAGAGATCCACAGCTCAGGTGGGAGAATCTGTCCACAGGACAACTATTAGTCGCACACTTCACAAATCTGGCCTTTATGGAAGAGTGGCGACAAGAAGCCATTAGAAGTCCCGTTTGCGAGAAGCTATGTGGGGGATACAGCAGATGTGGAAGACGGTGCTCTGGTCAGATGAGACCAAATTGGCCTAAAAGCAAAACGCTATGTGGTGGAAAACTAACACTGCACATCACCCTGAACACACCATCCCCACCGGGAAACATGGTGGTGGCAGCATCATGTTGTGGGGATGCTTTTCTTTAGCAGGGACAGGGAAGCTGGTCAGAGTTGATAGGAAGATGGATGGAGCCAAATACAGGGCAATCTTAGAAGAAAACCTGTTGGAGTCTTCAAAAAACTTGAGACTATTTGTAAACAATTTTGAAAACCATTTATCATTTTCCTTCCACTTCACAATTATGTTGCCACTTTGTGTTGGTCTACCACATAAAATCCCAATAAAATACAATTACAATTTTGGATGTAACATGACAAAATGTGGAATATTTCAAGGGGTATGAATACTTTTTCATTTAATTTCAACTTGGATTTCTGCACTGCAGAAACCACTCTAGCAGACCCTAGTGCATCTCTCAGTCAAAGTAGCCTTTTTGGTCACTATGGGGTTTATTTACTAAAGCTGGAGAGTACAAAATCAGACTCCCTTCTGCATAGAAACCAATCAGCTGCTAACCTCAGCTTGTTCAATGAAGCTTTGGCAATGAAACCTGGAAGCTGATTGGTTTCTATGCAGACGTGAGTCTGATTTTGCACTCTCCAGCTTTAGTAAATAAACCCCTATATGTCTGCCGGATGGGTTTCCGAAATTGGCTGGTCTTTCCTCATTCCTCACAATGACGAGGTTGCCCAAGGCAATCCTTTCTTCTGAAAGTGGTCTAAGCATTCTACCTCAATTAGGACATTGTCCTCTCATCCTTATGCTCTGCTCCTAAGCATCCAAATCTCTTTACATTGCCTGGATGTAGTCAGAGCCATTTGAGTATGCCTCAAGGCTACTGCTGCAGTCAGATCTTCATAATCCCTTGTTGTCTTGTTCTCTGGACCCTCTGCTTCAAAGTCCTCCATTGCCCAATGGATATGAAATCTGGTTGCATAAGCTTACATTCTCAAAGTGAAGCCACCTCCTGCACTTTTATGCATCCTTTCCACACACATTTGGTGGGTGTTTTGTGGGTATTTCGGCATCAAGCCTCTGTAGCCCAGTTGTGTAAGGCTGTCACCCTGGTCTTCTGTTCATATTTTTTTTTCAGAGTTTAACCAGATGGAAATCCAATATTCTGCTGATGCAGCTTTTGTCCGCAAAATTCTCGCAGCAACTCTCTGAGGTTGGGTCTTTTGACCCTTGTTGGGCCTTTTGGCACAGTTTTGTTTGCACCATTGTTTCCCACCCTTCCTATTCATTGCTTATGGGCATCCCATGGTGTATGAATATACTGACTGTGTCCTGAAGTGTACAATTAAAGCAATATTAAACTCTCCTGGTTTCTTCCTTTTTTTTTTTTTTTTTTTAAATGACCCCCTGCAGGTTTATGCCATAATGCTAGTATGCACAGCATACAAACACCTTATGCAGACTTACCAGTCAAGTGTAGCCCTCCAGCGCTGTTCTGTCACTGCCCCTAGCACTTCCATATTCACCTGATCTTCCCTTTGGGTTCACGGAAATCATAATTGCGGCACAGTGCTCTCTGCATTGACAGAGCATTCAGTGAATCTTGAATGCAGAGCTACAGTGCATGCTCTGGTGAAGTCAGCGGCTTCAGCCGCTGTGCATATCTTCTAAATGACACAAGTTTAGAAGATATTCACAGTACATACAGGTAAGCATTATTATCTTACCTTTAGGTACCAGTGCATAATAAGACCTTACTACCACTTTAGGGTATGAAGAATTTAGACTTGGAATACAGTACAGGACACCTTCCCTTTCATTTTTTAGTTTACTCGCCATTGCATGGTACAAAACTGAAGACATACAGAATGGGCTAGGATTATAGGGGAGGCATCCAGCGGGTGTGTCCTCTAAAGCTTTGCCAGTGTCCATAATCACGTGAAGGTACACACTGTTAATGCCAATGGTGTATGAATATTCTGCTTGTGTCCTGTACTGTACTCAAAGCTTTTGAATTTCACAAGTGAATTAAAATTCTTCTTTTTCACAACAATGCCTACATTGTACTAGTAGTGTGTACCAGAACAATGTCCTCCATGTTTGTGAACCTGGTTTGCTTCTTTATACTCTAAGAATCTGAGTTTTGGATTTTCAAATATTTAAGTTTGTAAATCAAGACTTTTTGAACTTTTTTTTTCCCTTTCTCTTCTGTCTTCCTACAGCATCACCATCAACCCCATCCTCCGCAGCAGCCTCTTGCCCCACCAGCTAATGCCCATAAGCCATCTTCCCCAACCCCTCCTCCCTCCTATGCCCCGCCTCCCAGCTTGGACACGTCTCACCCATCTCTCCATCCTCTTCATCCTGCTAATGTTTTTGAAGCCGTTAATGCTCACTATGGGCAGGCTGGTCTGCAGCTACCACCACCAGATCTTCCATCACACCTCACAGGTGGTCAGCCAGAGCGGTGTTCCCCACCTCATCTAAACCAACATGCCCTTGTTAGTCCTCCAGGTAAGTTTCATTAATTTATAATACTAGAGAATGAAAGGATGATGACATGGAAATAATTGTTATTAATTGCTGCTTTAGTACCCATTTGTATATCTCTGAATTACGGTTTCCTCTCTTTCAGCCCTGCATAATGCCATGCCACAGCAACCTTCTCGCCCTTCAAATCGTGCAGCTGCCCTCCCTCCCAAACCTGTACGACCACCATCTTCCTCACCACCCCCAGTACAAACGCATCACCAACCACCTCCTCATTCTCTCCATCATCATTCACAACCGCCTCATGCCCTGCTAGAGGATGATGGCTCATCGTCACCAAGTAGTGGTCTCCCTCCTTCTCCTGTTCAGCTTGGTCCTGCGCAGATGGCCCTTTACCTGCAGCAGTTACAGAAATCTTCTTCTGTGCAATCTTCTGTGCAATCTCCTCTTCAGCCACTCCTCCCTTCTGTCAAAGTGCAGAACCAAGCACCATTGACTGCTGCTTCCCAGTCTTTGCGGCACCTGCAAAACCTGCCTTACCCTTCTCCTTCCTCTGTTAGCACTGCTCCTCCCCCTGCTCCTACCTCCTCCCATGTACATCAGTTGCAGACACCACCTACAGCTTCCCAGCAACAGCCAGCAGTGCAGGCTCCACCCCCTCCACAGCAGCCGCATCCTACTCTGCAAAGTACAATGACCGCTCCCCACCAACAGCTTGTGCAGCACCAGCAGTCTAAGCCACAGCAAGTAATCCAACACCACCATCCCTCACCACGACAACAGAAACCAGAGCCATACTCTGGAGGTGAGTGGTATGTTTTTGTGAAAATAGTTTGTTAGCATACTGTGTTAAATAAGTGAGCCGTATTCTGCAGTGGTCACCATACTGCAGCCCATGAGCCAAATGTGTCCTTTTTGCATGCATTTAACTTTTTGTGGGAGTACAATTCCCCCTATTGACATCAATGATGGGGCCCAATTCCATCCACTGAGACCAACTGCGGGGGGCACTATTCCTCGTTCCACTAACGCCAACATTGGAACATTATTCCTGCCACTGGCCTCTCTAAAGTATAAAGGACAGGGAACTGGATCTTTGTGTAGAAAGTTTGGGTATCCTGGCATTTTAATTGCTAGTGGAGATATAAATTGTCTTCATTTTCTTTGCAACATTTTTCTTGTTTCTGGTTTGTCTAGGTCACTTGCGGGAGGCCCCATCTCCTCTCCTTCATTCATCTCAGGTTCCTCCATTTGCAGGCCTTTCACATCCTTCGTCACCGCAGGCCGTACAGTCTAAAAAGCAGGTATAGATCACTGGCATTACCTATTGGTTTGGGCTGTGTGGGTGTTTTTTAGCAGTTCAGCTGTACTAATAAATTGATTAAAAAAAAAATGGTTTAGCACATAGTTATTTATTATGTTTTGGATAGCACATTTTTGGCATAGATAGTGCTTATTCTCTTTTCTTTCCACCTGCTAAGACTAGTAATCGATATCTGGTTGAACAAATGGCTACCAATGGTGTAAACTAAGTGTAGCATTTAGCATTGAATATTATTCCATATGGAGCACAGTGTAACCAGTCAATTCTCAAAGCTACTACTGTATAGTGTACACCACAGGGAGTCGCTTGTTCCAACAGTGAGTGAACCTTGTTTACTCGTAGCAGATAGGTTATAGTGAAATGATTCGGCTGCTAAAAATCACAGTTGAAACTTGGGCATTTGTTTTCCTCTGGTTGGCTAATCAAAAGTTGGCATTCAGTAATTTAAAGTAGGCACACTAGTAAAGATTTCACTGTGTTCTCAGTTTCTTAAGGTGCAGGTCTGCCCAAAATCTATATCTGGTTCCATGCCTCTCTTGGACCACAGAAGTTAATCTCCCTCAGCCTTGGCATGGCAGTTGCAAGCAGGCTGATATGACACAAATTAATGTAGTTTGTGTTCGTTAATACATAGAGACCCTGTCACCAAACCATTTTAACAAAAAGTTTCCCATAAGAGTATATGTGCATTTAAAATATTTTAAGCATGTTATTTGCTAAGACTCCCTTGTGTAGAAATCCAAAAGCCCAGAGACTGCTGCTGAGCACATGATGAATGGATTGTCAGCAGACTCCAAGTTGTCACTCAAGCAGCATCATAGTATTTCCCTTTGTGAGGGGGCATGGTTTTGCTGGGCCAGTACAGACATTAGTTAGACATTCCCAGAAGAGGAGAGGGGTATAACATGCAAAGAGGCAGGGAACTGTGCTACAGAATTGAGTGTTAGCTTTCTAGTTCATAGGTATATTGCCAGCCTTCCATTGGGGATCTGTCCTATATAAAGTGTTGCCTGGCTGTCATGCTGATTCTTTGTCTTTAGTGCCTAGTGACTTAGAACATGTATGCTCTTGATGTAGATCAGCATGACAGCTCAGTAACTTAGTATTTTTTAGGCAGCCTATGTTTTTCACCAACTTAAGGTCTCCCTCAAGGAAAGACTTTGGCAATCTGTAGCTGTTAACACACTTATCTGCTCCACAGGAAATGAGAGGGTCATCTGTGTTGCAGCCTCAGCCGCTAGTAGTGAAGGAAGATAAACGCCACTCACCATCTTTGCGTCCAGAAGGCTTTTCCCCTGGCATGAGGAGTGAACCCCACAAACTTCCAGAACAGCTAAAAACTTCTAGCCATGTTCAGCCAAGTGAGTTGTTGTGTTTTACCAAAAGTAGAACTATGAACACCCATTTAAAAATGCTTCATCACTTATACACCATGGGCCCAGTTTTTAGTCCTCCTATAAATTCCCACAAATACTTGTTGACCCTGCCAGTGAAGTCCACCTAATGCAGCTTTCTGTGATGGTGTGGCAACAATGCTGCAGTGCTTCTAAATTCAGAGCAGAGTTTCCACTATCATGTATGTTGTGCCTTTATGTACTACAGTGGGATGAGTAGAAATGGTAGAAGGTGTGGCTATCAGTCAGCACTACTGACTGATGAGCCTGTAGCTTGTCAATTAGCACCTGACCACAGCTAGGTTCTGCCCAATGCTTTCTGGATTGGCAGCATTTTCTCTGCCATTGAAACTCTCCCACTGTTAGCTGCAGGGTCTCATCAAGCATGTGAAATACAAATGAAAAAGTATTTGGCTCGGTCATGGAAGGTAAAAGAAGTATCTAAGTTGTGGTACAAGACACAGGACTCATTTTCATAGACCATGTTTTGTATGCAGGTTACCTTCAGGTGATTTGACACTGGCAAAAAAACTTGCTTGGACTGCCTCTAGGGCGCAGCCATATAACCACGCCCACTCCAAGAGACTCCAGTTCTTTGCTAGTGTCCTTAGGCAATGGAGCTGTTTGACCTATCTAGCAGTTTCCACTTGCAAAACCTGAAGGGTCAGTGCTTCTAGGCTATTCAGCACCAAGTTTGTAAACATGTGAAGAGAAAAATCGGTAGCAGCTTTACAAAGTTTTACCATGTAGATATTCATGCCACTGGGGATGGCACCTTTTTGGCGTTTCTAGGTTTTGGGGCGTTTTGATCTTGTTGCTGTGTTGCCCACCCTTTTATGTTCAGTGCTTTGGGACATCCAAAGTAGTCATGAATATTTTAGTCAAACTAAAGTCCAAAATACTTATTGAAGTCCCTCAGTGGCGTCTTCTTACGGGTGTCAGTCTTCAGCCATCTTTATTGGCTGATTCAGGATCACATGTATAGGCGTTCAGTCAATCCAGCATGTGGGCACTATTCGGGAATGCAAACTGAGCTGAATCTTCTGCGAAAATGAGCCTGGCTGTTCGCATTTATGTATCTTTAAGAAATTAGTTCCACTTTAACTCTTCTGTGTCCTACCATGCAAATCTCATGACACAAATATCCTTCTTGCTTATGTTCTTCGTTGCTTGCTACAAAACAAGCATAGCTAAGCTAGAAGGGGTTATATCTGGGTAGATATTCAGATTTTTTCTTTATTTGCCAGTGCCCATTCACCTGAAGATGGCAGAATAACATAAAATTGTATTGAATATTAACTTCTCTGTGTCCTATGATGTACTCCAATAGCAGTTAAGATGGCACTCATTACTGTCAAGCCCAATGACTGTCTTTCTGTAGCCTCACCTGCAGGCTCAAGAAGGCCATGATTGGTGCAGCAAACATCTGCTAATATCTTGTGAAAAAGAAATGTAACTTCTACCAGTTTATTCTTCATGGTCTCTGCTTTTAGAAAATATATAATGTTTGGGGATTTTAATTAATCTTCAGGCTAAAAATGTGCATTTTATTTTACTGTGTGCAGAAAATAAAAAAAAAAAAATGGCTCTGCTAGTGGTTTAAAAAAAAACCCTAAGGTTCTCGCATACATCTTATATATACTGTATATAACTTATATACACTTACGTTTTAGTTTTTTATTTATTTATTATTATATATAATTTTTTTTTTAGGGCCAGAAATGAAACCCATTGATGGAAGTCGCCCAGTGAGAGCCCCTGAAAGCATCACATCTCAAGGGGTACCTGAGAAAGAGAAGCAAAAGCAGGAACCTAAGACACCTGTTGCCCCCAAAAAGGTAAGATATTAATGTTAATGTATTTGAAACACAGCTGGATATACTTGTGTGGCCAGCTAGTCAATGCTTCAAAAGTCTAATCCCTCTTCTGCTGTTTTGCGTTAAAAGCACATGTTCTTCCTATACTGATGGTGCCATGCACATACATACATACATACATACACACATATTACACACCAGTCAAAGTTGTCTTTACTGACAAGGTGAAAATTGCATCTGCCATACCCACAGGAGGCTTTGGCTCACTTAGAACAGTGGTTTTTAATGGTTTTGAGACCAAGGCCAAGTTAAATTCTTTCAAAAAGCTTCAAAGTCTCAAGCAATAAACACAAAAGTTTATACTCTCTTTACCTAGTTTAGTGATCCTATCACTGGTCAGTTGTTGCCAGCTGTAAGATTACAGGTCAACACCTGTTGCATAAGACAAGCCTAAAATCGCACAACTGCATTTATGTAAAGCAGCATATTTTACAAGTAAATTCCTTTTGATGGAGGTAATCAGGCTAATTGCACTACCCTCTCTAATACCCTTCATCTCTAATCCCCACACCAGCACTATGAATGCCAGCTTTGGAACTTGATAAAGAGGTACACCTTTGGATGGAAAAGATGCTGTGTGTGTTAAGTAAAAGGATGTTGATAAACTGGGGGCATTACTTAAAATAGCATTGTTAAATAATCTGTATGCACTGTACATGGTCTGCAAACCACAAAATACTCCATAATTACTGTTCTATGACTGAAAAAAATAAAAATAAAAAAATATATATTTATTTGGGGGGGGGCCCTAGCCCTCAACATGGGCATTACTAAAAAAAAATGAGGTTGTATTGGTCCACAGACCCGATTCATCATATGCCAGTGTTCTCTGCTGCCATGGCCAGGCATAATATGAGAGTAAAAAAGAAACCCTGTGAGTAAAGTACTCGCTGGAAAATAGTCCTCAGGAGAATAAATCTGCAGCTTAAAACACTGTATTTATTGAAAATAATATACCAAGTACAAAATGACAACCGTGCCCTCCACCCTGCACAATAAAATCGTGACAACGTTGTCATATAGTAAAACACCCACCCGGGCACACAGATACACACTCGACACACACTGGACACACTCCAATAACCAATAAAGTGAGGGGCCATAAGGTCAATGACACCTAATTGGATCAATAAGAGATCAATAAGAGATTAGGACAATATAATGGATGAATAATGTGGACATTAAAGTCAATCAAGGGTGGTCAAGGGAGTGGCAGAATCATCAGACCCAGCCGGTCCTCATAGGGGTTACGTGCATGTATGATAGACCCTTGGAGTCTCATAGACGGCAGTTCTCAAATAATCGCATATGTGGATGATGGTCACTGAGATATTGGATAAAGCAACACGCTGCTCTCTCAAAGTTGGCAAAATGACAACCAGTGGATGGATGTGAATAGATGACCAGAACGAAACACTTGTATATTCAAAAAAGGCAGCGGTTACAATTCACAATTTACTTTAAGCACAGAAGAGTCCCTCAATCCTCAGTGAGGTGATATAGATGCATGACAGACCCATATAAATCCCATGGGGGATAATCCACTTCGTTATCCACGGATAATGGTGCTAATAGCAATGTTGCCAATATATAAATGGCAGGTTGAGATGACAAGATCAATAGTGCAATAGGCACTGGGTGAGCATATATAGGAAACTGTAATGAAGCACTGTGTGCCAGTGATAGAGATACGAACGTCTGACATGTGTAGCTCAGACGAGCAATTTCAGTTGATGGGGACTCCCCCATTATATTAATGCCTTAGTCCTAGAACAAAGTTCGCTCACCCATCCAAGTGCCGTTTGCAAATGCTTTGTCTTCCTGTTGGTCAAGATGTAGGGGCATGCCATGTGATTATCCGTGGATTTGTAGGTCTGCAGAAAGGTCTGGTGTGTCCAGTGTGATGTGGCCAGATGGTGAGGCCGTGTTGGGGGGCCTGGATGCTGGGAATGTGGGCATCATAACGCTGTGACGTCAACGCGTTTCACCCACTGAGTCATGTGAGCTTCTTCAGGATGCGGTGGCCATAATGTTGAAGACTTTTATTGGGACATGCTCGTCACTTCCGGATTCAACAGGAAAAATGGCCGCTGCAAAGAAAGTCATTACAGCAATTCAAAAACTGCTAGGAACGTCATAATATTTAAAGGAGGAAAAGATTCATATGCAATCAATCATACCCACACCTAGGGGAGACTAGTGGCCCCATCTTAGATTATCCATGACTGTGAAACGAACGGCTAGCTGGCTAACCAGTATTAAAGGGGAGGTGATTTAACAGGCATAATATGAGAGTATAATGTGTTTTATGCATTTCAATGACAACACACTCTGTCATCCTCGGGGTGACCCTGAATTTGACTGGCTCCACAAAATTCAGCCCCTCATAAATCACCTTAACCAAAAATCTGCAGATGTCTATTCTCCCCAGCAAAACATCTGCGTTGATGAGTCCCTCATTAATTTTTCTGGCCACCTTGCATTCAAACAATTTCTCCCCAGCAAGCGTGCCAGTTATGGGGTCAAGATGTAGAAGACCTGTGAGAGGGCAACAGGCTATACTTAAATGTTTCGGATTTACGAGAGAAAAGATACATGGGGAGCAGTGGCAAGATAGTTTGGAACTTGGTGTCATCCTTTTTCCATATGGGGTACCACTTATATGTGGACAATTTTTATTCAAGCGTGCCACTATTTAGACATTTGTACAATCTTGGAATTGGCGCATGTGGCACCGTGCGACCTAAACGCCGGGGCTTCCCCCAACATCTTGTAAATACCCATCTTAGAAAGCGGGGAAAAGCCTGCTTGAGAAACGAGGATGCCACTCAGCTGGAGCACTGACTTGTTTATTCTGACAGCAACATGGTCTTGCTCTCAGAATATACATAAGTCAGTGTGGGTAGCGCTGTTGGAAATCTGCAGTTGAAAAAGAGCATATATGCTGAAGCATGGGGGCCTGGGGTGGCCAGTGGGTGGATGGCCCCTATGCTTTGGGATATATATTTTATAATATTTTTTGGAACATTATAAGTGGGTGGATGCAGGGCGGTATATTCTAACGTTGGGCATACCACACACTCTTTCTGGCAGAGATTTCTTCTCTATATCATTCAGCCCACATAAAAAAAAAAGAACATAGAATATACATCCAACGATGACCAGCGACATACTGGTACATCACTGGACTTTGAGTGGCTATACCAGGATGATCATCATCTTTTATATTTTACCAAATAATTGGCCAATATATTGTGTGTTTGTGCATTAAAAGTAAAAAAACAAAAAAAAAAATTTTTCAAACAATTTGCATTTTAAAAATTGCTGTGTGAGTACTATGTGACCTTTTTTGCAGCACCCACCATTTTATTCACTAGGGTGTCTGCTTTAAAAAATATATAATGTTTGAGGGTTCAAAGTAATTTCCTAGCAAAAATACTGTTTTTTTTTTTGTTTGTTTTTTTATGTGAACAAAAAGTGTCAGTGACCCCTTTTTGGAAAGTAGACACCCCAAACTATTTGCTGAGAGGCATGTTGAGTCAATAGAAGAATTTATTTTTTTTACAAGTTTTTTGAAAATGACAAACCCCCCCCCCCCCCAAATTGTCACTTAAATGATTTATTGCTCACACATGCCATGGGTATATGTGGAATTACTCCCCAAAAGACATTCTGCTACTTCTCCTGAGTATGGGGATACCATATGTGAGATATTTTTTGGCAGTCCAGCTAAGTACAGGACCCCAAAATCCAGTGAGCACCTTCAGGCTTTTAAAGGGCTTTATTTCCTCATTACACTTTCTGATCACCTATCACAGTTTTGGAGGCCCTGAAATACCAGGATAGCACCAAACCCTCCCAGATGACCCCTTTTTGGAAAGTAGACACCCCATGAAATTTGATAAGATGCATGGTGAGTATTTTGCAGATCTTGTTTGTTGTCAAAAGTTTTTGGAAAATGAAGAAAGAAAACAGAAACGTATTTTTTCTTTTCTTTTTTTTTTTTTTTTATATTTCAGAACCTTGTGAGAAAAAAAGAGATATGCAAAACACTCACCATGCCTCTTTTTAAATTCCTTGGGGTGTCTACTTTCCAAAAAGGGGTCATTTTAGGGGGGTTTGGTGCTCTCCTGGCATTTTAGGGCCTCCGAAACTGTGATGGGTAGTGAGGAAATGAAATGAGGAAGTTACCCGCCTTCAGGCTTTCAAAGTGGTCATTGGATTTCAGGCTCCTGTATGTGGCTAGGCTCCCAAAAATTCTCACACGTGGTATCCCCATACTCAGTAGAAGTAGCAGAATGTATTTTGGGCTGTAATTCCACATATGCCCATGGCTTGTGTGAGAAATATATCATTTAAGTGACAACTTTGTGTAAAAGAAAAAATAAATGTTTTTGTCATTTTCCAAAGACTTGTGGAAGAAAAATAAATCCTCCATGGACTCAATATGCCTCTCAGCAGATAGCTTAGGGTGTCTACTTTCCGAAAAGGGGTCATTTGGGGGTGTTTGTACTATCCTGGTATTTTTAGCACCTTTAGGTGCTTTAGTTTTAGCACCTAAAGAAATGTGATAAGCAGAAAGTAAAAGCTGTGTAAATTCCATTATCTATACCATAGTTTGTAGATCAATATGTACTTGTTGGGATTTTTTTTTTTTTACCAAAAACATGTAGCAGAATACATTTTGGCCTAAATTTATGGTGAAATTTGAGGTTTTTTTTTTTGGATATTTTTTTGACAGAAATTAGAAATTTTTTTTTTCTTTCAAAATTTTCAGTATTTTTATGTTTATAGCGTGAAAACAAAAAAGGGCACAGGTGATCAAATACCACTGAAATAAAGCTCTATTTGTGTGGGGAAAAAAGGATATAAATTTCATTTATGTACAGTACTGTATGACGCGCAATTTTCAGTTAAACTAGCGCAGCGATGTATAGCAAAAAATGGTGTAAATTGCAGTATCTATACCATAGTTTGTAGACGCTATAACTTTCACACAAAGCAATCAATATACACTTATTAGGATCGTCTTTTTACCAAAAACATGTAGCAGAATACATTTTGGCCTTAATTTATGACTAACTTTGAGTTTACTATATATTTTTTATAGCCGAAAGTAAAAAAATATCGTTTTTTTTTTTTTTCAACGTTTTTTTTTTTTTTTGTTTATAGCACAAAAAATAAAAGCACACAGGTGATCAAATTCCACCAAAAGAAAGCTCTATTTGTGTGCAAAAAAGGATGGTTAAGTAACTTCCTTTTCTAATTAAATGTCTGCTGGACACCTGTTGAAAAAAATAATTAGACTCACCGGTAGTTTAATTCTTGTTAATTAGGGTTTTGTTATCAAAAATTTTATCTTTGCTCCTAAGGCTGGCCATACATTATACAATTATCTGCAGATTTTCTGCCAATTTCCTTTAGATTTACCTTCAACTATGTAGTGCAAGGGCCTGCCTAATTGGATACAACTGAAAGTGTTGTTTAGGTTTGTCTTCCTATTATATGGTTTTTGGTAAATCTAAACCAAAAATCTGCAGATAATTGTATAATGTATGGCCAGCCTTAGACTTTCCTTGGGGTGTATTCATTTTTGCAACATGGCCTTGAATGAATTTGTTATAAAAAATACTTTTTTTTTTTGTGCAAATTAAGAAATCTTTTTTGCAATCAATGGCCTGCATTTTTGGGAGTATGTTGTAGTATGTTTTCCCATAGAAAATATTGATTCTGAAAGGAAAGGTTTTCTGACAAATCTGTTGGAGTGTACTCATTTATGCTGAGCACTGTGTGTAATAAATAAACACACACACACACACACCTTGAATACGAAGTGACTATGTAACCGGTTTTCCCTAGGACCTAAAAATTAAAAAACATGGGCTCTTGGGCAAGCCTAGTACAGAAGACCCCGGTCACCCCAACTGCACCAGGGAAGTCATCCAGTGATAGCTTTGAGCTTTTCAGACGTGCAGCGGGGAGAAGGAGGAGCGAGAGAGGGCGCTAAAACTGCAGGCAGAGCATGCAGAAAGAATGCGAAGGGAGCAGGAGAGGATGAGGTAAGTGTATATGCCTGAATTTGATAGTCATGTGGTTGGTTACACATTATCAGTGAAGTTGTATGTCTCTTTAAAACGTAGTATAGAGAACGTATCTAATGTATCGGTGCCTTTTTCCATTTTTTTTTTTTTTATATATAATATGTTAGAAAACACAAATTCTCTTGTGAAAAACATATAGAAGTGATAAACTAAAGAGTCCATAAATAATCCCCTCAGTAACGTGCATCATGGCTTGCCCTTTTTTAGGGATGAGTACTATGGCTGCCTAATACATGGACTGTGGGAGCTTCCTGGTATCATTCAGTGCAAGCAACAGGCTAGGGCAGTGTTTCCCAACCTATTTTCAGTCAAGGCACCCATTAAAATTCTGCAAAATCTCAAGGCACCCCATTCTACAATGTGAAAAACAAAACCACTAGTTTTACATATCGCAGCAACATCCACATGTGTAGGACTCCTAACATTAGAGGTGCTTTTTTTCTTACAAAGCAAACACACCTTTGCACACTGGTACTGACTAGTATTCCAGTGTTTCTCTTCTTCCTCAGTTTCTTTCCCTCACTCCAGCTAATGTGACCCCAGTGCTGACGGGGAATGGAAAACAAGGAAGCTGTGCAGATGCCCGATCAACTGATGACATAAGAGGTTGTTAGGATACTGGCTGCTAGAAGGTGTGATAGTACACAATGAAAACCTGTGGCTTTGTGTAACTGAATGGCAGGCTTGATCCACCTGCTGGATTGAGTACAATTTTTTGGCAACGTTTAGGCATTTTTCCAAAGCACCCCTGAAAACACGGTCCCTGGGTGCCTTGGTTGAAAAAGACTGGGCTAGGGAGTAGCACCTCTCGGTATCTCTTATATAGCTCCATGTGGAGTCCATTGGTGCCAGGGACTTTGCAGTTGGGGAGAACCGCCATGACTTCCTCCAAGGAGGCTTTGATCCTCCGCAGAAAATACAGATGAAGTTATCCCATCCAATTATGTGTGTAGATTTGCAGGGAGATAATCTGCTCTAGTGGAGTATAATGGTTGGATTCCCAAAATCTTTTCCACTTGGGTACATGTATGGTCCACATTGTCTTTTAATGCAGCGATAATGGCATTTCCCTCCTGGAACCTGTTTGAGCCATTCGAGCACCACAAAAAAGTAGCTTAGCTTCTCAGCGGTTCCCTTTAGGATTAGGAGACTAGTCTTTTTCGTATTCATGTTCCCCCTGTCAGAATACGATGTCCCAGCGGGAGAGATTGCTGCATCAACATTGCTTGTGTTGATGCAGGGATCTGTTGGTGTTTTTGTTCAACCAACTGTTTGAAAAAAAAAAAAAAAAAAAACTGAATGTGTATAGCCAGCTTTAGTCCCCTGTTTATTGTGATTCTTCCCCTTCTTCCGCAGACCCTCTTATGTCATTACAAGACATGACACCCTGTACCAGGTTTTAATCAAAGGGAGCTGCATAGCAAGCTCTCTCTTTAGCGAAGTCATAGCACTTTTGTACACCAAAAAGTACTTTCTTTGAAAGGGATTGTTCACCTTTACCAAAAAGCTGCCTATGCAGGTAAGGGTTGTATGTAGATACAAACAAACTGTGCAGTTATTATTATTATTATACAGGATTTATGTAGCGCCAACAGTTTGCTCAGCGCTTTACAATATAACGGGAGACAATACAGCAACAATACAGTTCAATACAAGAGGGATAGGAGGGCCCTGCTCCTTGGAGCTTACAATCTAGGAGGGAGGGGCTAGTGGTGCAAAAGGTAGTAACTGTGGGGGATGGACTGGTTGGAAGAGTAGAAGATTCCATTATTAGCTGAAGGCAGGATAGGCTTCCCTGAAGAGATAGGTTTTCAGAGATCGCCTAAAAGTGAGCAGAGTAGGCGATAGTCTGATAAATTGGGGTAGAGAGTTCCAGAGGGAAGCTCTGGAGAAGTCCTGGAGACGAGCATGGGAAGAGGAGACAAGGGAGCTAGAGAGTAGGAGGTCTTGCGAGGAGCAGAGAGTACAGTTTGGGTGATATTTGGAGACAAGATTGGTGATGTAATTTGGGGCAGAGTTATAAACGGCTTTATACGTTATTGTTAATGTTTTGAATTTTATCCGTTGGGCAACGGGAAGCCAGTGGAGGGCTTGGCAGAGAGGGATGGCAGATACACAAATTTAGTAAGGTGGATAAGTCTGGCAGCAGCATTCATGATAGACTGAAGAGGGGATAGCCTGCGATGAGGTAGGCCAATGAAGAGGGAGTTACAATAGTCAAGGCGAGAGATAACAAGGGAGTGAATAAGTTGCTTAGTGGTTTCCAAGGTTAGGAATGGGTGTATCTTGGAGATGTTGCGGAGGTGAAGTCTACAAGATTTGGACAGTGATTGGATTTGGGGCTGAAAGGACAGATGGAAGTCTAGGATTACACCTAGTACCCTGGCATGAGGGGAGGGACTGATGGCTGTATTATTGATCTTGATGGAGAAGTCAGGGGAGGGGGCACAGGCTGGGGGGAATAGTAAGAGCTCAGTTTTGGAAAGATTGAGTTTGAGGAAGTGGAGTGACATCCATGCTGATATGTCACTTAGTAGGATAGTAATGCGAGAGGAGACTGAAGGGGTGAGGTGAGGAGTAGAAAGATAGATTTGTGTGTCATCAGCATAGAGATGGTACTTGAAGCCATGGGAGTTTATCAAGTGACCAAGGGAGGAGGTGTAGATGGAGAAGAGAAGGGGTCCAAGGACAGAACCTTGAGGGACCCCTACAGAAAGAGGGAGTGAAGAGGAGGAGGCAGCGTTATAGGTAACACTGAAGGGAGCGCTGCGATAGGTAGGAGGAGAACCAGGAGAGAGCAGAGTCTCTGAGACCAAGAGAGTGGAGTTTTTTGAGGAGGAGGGGATGGTCAACCGTATCAAAAGCCGCAGAGCGGTCAAGTAGTAAGAGTACGGAGTAGTGGCCATTGATTTTAGCAGTTAGTAGATAATTAGCGAGTTTTAGTAAGGCAGTTTCAGTGGAGTGTAGTGAGCGAAAGCCAGACTGTAAAGGGTCAAGAAGGTTGTTGTCAGTGAGGTAGGAGCTCAGGCGATTGTAGACTAAGTGTTCTAAGAGTTTAGAGGTAAATGGCAGCAGGGAGATGGGTCTTAAAATGTCCAGGTTGGTGGGGTCCAGGGAGGGCTTTTTAAGTATGGGAGTGGTGTGCGCATGCTTTAGAGGGGAGGGGAAGGCACCAGTAGAGAGGGAAAGATTGAAGATGTGAGTGAGGGAGCATAGGATGGAAGAAGACAGTGACCGTAGTAGTTGTGAGGGGACAGGATCCAGGGGGCAGGTAGTGAGACGGGCTTATGAGAAAACCTTTGTGACCTCTTCAGTAGTCGCAAGGTCAAAAGAGGAAAGTGTTGAGGGAGGTTTAGTATAAGGTATGCTAAGTGGGATGGGTGTCTGTGCAGTGGCGATGCCCCTACGAATTGCGTCAGTCTTGTTTTTGAAATGATTTGCAATCTCGTGAGCAGTGAGTGAGGTACTGGGTAGGGGTGGGGGTGGAGGTGGAGAAAGTAGAGAGTTAAAAAAGTAGAGAAGAGATGATGAGGACTGGATGACAAGGTATTAATAAGAGTGACAAAGTAGGCTTGTTTGGCAGCATGAAGGGAGGAATTGTATGTTAAGAAAAAAGATTTATATAGGGTGAATGCTTGTTGAGATTTGGTTTTACACCACAATTGCTATTTCTCAAGATTTCTGGTGTCGTCAGTCTGCCAAGGTTGTAACAGTCGGGGCCTGATGCTTCGTGTTGTTAGAGGAGCAAGTGAGTCTAATGTGGATAAAAACAAACTGTTGTAGACAGCAGTGGCCAGGTCAGGGCAGGACAGGGAGATATTCTGTCATAGAGTTGGCCAGTTGCAGAGTGGAAAGGAGCAGGGTTCAAGTTGTGAAGGTTTCTGCGGTAATTGCTGCTTGGAGAGATAGGTGTTTGAAGACGAGGACACTGTGAAGGTGATGAGATTGTGATCAGAGAGAGGAAAGGGGGTGTTTGTGGGGTTGTAGGGAGTGCAAAGGCGGGAGAAAACAAGGTCCAATGTATTCCCATCAGAGTGAGTGGAGGACTGTATACATTGTGCTTAAACCAAAAGATGAGGTTATGTTGAAGAGTTGGGATGTAGCTGGGTTGTTCACATTAATGGGGATGTCCCGGAGGCCGATAGATCCAGGAGGCCTCCTGGACATCCAGGAGGCCGATCGATCACTGCAATCCTCAGAGAAATGGGAGAAAACAGCCGAATGCAGTGAGTCTCGAAAGAAGAGAAGGATAGAGAGGGAGGGTTAGGGAGGACTTGAAAGGTGCTCAGTGGGGATAGAAGCAAACCAACTCCACCACCTTTCCGACCACTGGGTCTGGGTGAGTGGGTCCAGAGACGGCCTCCATAGGAAAGTGCTGCGGGAGAAGCAGAATCTGATGCTTGAAGCCAGCTTTTTGTAATTGCTACTAGGTTAAGGGAGCGGGAGACAAAAAGGTCATGGACAGAGGTGAGCTTATTACAGACAGAGTGGACATTCCAGAGTGCACATGAAAAAGCGAGGGTGGTTTTTAGGAGCACGAGACCAATATTAAATTGAGGGGATTGCGGCTATTCCCGGAAGAAAGAGGACGACTGGTGTGGGGGTGAAATACTGGAGGACCAGGGTTTGGGGAGATATCCCCAGAGGTTAGGAGGAGGAGGGTGAGGAAAGTAAGATGGGAGCGGGATGTATATGAGTGCACATGCCTTCCTGTCCTGGTGTTTGGGTCAGCAGGAGAGTGAAGTATCAGCAGGAGGTGATGAGAGCAGTAGTAGGGAGATGGTAGCAGTGAGGGTAAGATGTACAAGTTTTGCGTGGTGGAGCAGAGGGGTAAAGAAGTGAGATTTTGGGCATGCAGGAAAGTAATGTGAAAAGGAGGAGTAGAGGGGACATATTAAAAAGGTACACGGAGTGGGAATCAGACTTGTAAGAAATGTTTCCCAGGGTTTGTTTGCAGTCTGTCCAGCATGCAGTAGAGTTTCTTCTTGTTGTATCTTCCTGCTACTTGAGTTATCCTGCTTTAGTTCAACTGCTGTGTTTAACTGCGTCTTAGCACTCCATCAACACAGCACTCACGCAAAAGCAGCACCCCATCTGTGACTATGCCCCCCGATCTGTGACCTCCCCCCATGTGCTGATCTAAATTTATAGGGAGATGGTCAAATGAGCACTCTTATCTGCCCCAATTAGGAACTGATAAGGATCCATTATATTTACATACCTCCTGAAGCCAGGCTGGAAAACTAGGCATTATTGCTCACCTCCACCATCATAGGAGTGAGCTCAGAGCTACATGGGGGAGAGAGAGAGAGAGCATGGGAGGGGCTTTGATTCAGAGAAAAAGCTCACCCCCTGTGATGACTAGGCCTCACTTAGCAACATCCTGGAAGTAATCCAGTCAGGCTTCATGAGGTACCTAAATGGCCTACACCTAGAGCAAGGGTAATTAATATTCAACTCTAGTCAGAGACAGTTAATCCACAGACACCCCTTATCTGCATAGGCTGGTTTCTGGTAAAGGTGAACTTGAACTGTCAACAAGTGTGTTCGCTGGAAATACTGTGGTCTAACCGCAGTGCAGGCCTGTGTGTCATGTCAGTCAAAGGTCTGCCTATTTCAAAATGTTTGGTCTTGTCTTATGTATAGTTATGTTTGCTGCACACATTAGGTCTCGAGAAGAAGATGATGCTCAGGAGCAGGCAAGGAAAGCTCATGAAGAGGCTCGTAGGAGGCAGGAGCAGCAGCAGCAGCAGCAGCAGCAGCAACAACAACAACAACAACAACAACAGCAGCAGCAGCAACAACAGCAGCCACATGTGCAAAACCCTCTTCCTACACCTCCGCCTCCTGCCCAGAGCTCACAGCCTATTATGGATCAGAGGGAGATGGATAGAAAGCGAGAACAGGAGCGGAGACGGCGACAGGCGGTAGGTGTCTACTAGTATCTGTATTTCTGTGCTAGAAATATCTCTTTTTGCTTTTCTAGATGGTAACATGTGTCTTGTTCCTACAGATGACTCCCTCAATAGACATGAATTTTCAGAGTGACCTGATGGAGATATTTGAACAGAACTTGTTCTCTTGAGACTTCAATCTTCTCACTGTCACCTCCACCACTTTACTTCCTGCAGCCCGACCCCATGAATTCTATTCATAATATTTTTTTTATGTCATTATGAGGGGCAGAGTGACACCTACCCAAAAGACGCTGAAGTTAATGCCCTTCGTGTATTTTATCTCCCCGCCCTTGTATGTGGATACACAAAGCCTCCGGAAGTTATGAATTTGGAAGAGATGTACAACCCTAGATTGGATCATTGTGCAGTAAAACCACCATTTCCCAAACCCCCTTCTAATTCAGAGCAATTTGGAAGATCATGGACTCTCAGGATGGGGGGGGAAGGTGACGGGATGTGGAGAATTTTCTCAGCCTCTATTGTAGGAGACGTGGATGGGGAAGTGCTCAGCAGTGTATCAGCTTCACGCACCGGAAGCAAGCATTTGGGTACAATGCAAAGTGTGCATGGTTGTGTTAGGGCGCAGAGGGCTGCAGAACATTGCTCATTGTGTGCGCAAACCAGTGTCTACAGCACTTCGCCATAACTGCTGTGTAATAGTTCCAAACAACATTAGCCATCACTGCAATTTATACACCATTTTCAGTTTAGTTGGTTTCTGAACAGTGATGTCCAGCACTGTATTCCAGTCACCTAAAGCATGCAAATTTCATACTATATGGAATGTATATATAAGTGCAGAGCACTTTCTAAGAAGCAAAGTATGTATATTATGGGTTTAAAATTAAGTCAGGCCAAGATTGGCAGGATAAAGTAAGCTTTAAGCCTTAAAGGGGAAACCGTTGCTAATTTTTGATGTCTATTTGCTTTACATAGTTTTGTATCCGGTGTTTGTTCTGAGCTCATAATGTTAAAGTAACAGGTGACTTAGTAACGCTCTGCAATTATGTATGCATTTTATATGTGTGTCTTGTGTGTTCTGTGCCTGATCTCAAAAATCTTGTTCACATTGGCTGCAGTTCATTTACATGGCGGTCTGCTCTCCTAGTCCCCTTCATCTATTTTTGTACACACATTTCTATGTGCCTGCAATGATTGTACTTTTTTTTTTTTTTTTTCTTTTTAACTTGTACAGTGTGTCTCACACCTTTTTGTTTTGTGTGCGTGTCTGTGTGTGCCATTGAACACCCAAATCGCTCTTGAATCTCAGGTATTAATTATCCTTTTTTTTTTTTTTTTTTTTTTCTTACGTAAACTTAGCAAGTGCTCAGCTTAAATACACTAGACAGATAACATAGCATACGACTTCTACATACCCCCCCTAGACAGATATTGTTCTGCTCGTCATAGCATCATGTATTGTTTCACATCTCTACACCCTAATGGGCTGTGTACTTTAAACACGTAGTTGCATGGAAGACGATAATGTATGTTGGAGTTATGCACACTATTGTTTGTAGTGTTGTAGTCCTCTGCGGGACTCAACATTTCTTTGCATGGATATCTACATGTACATCTGCTGCTACATCATTCTTCAGAGGTATTTCTACTCCACATCACCTTGCCCAGCAGGTCTGTGTGCATTGTGTTTCTAAAGGGCAGTTGTCTGTTCCTCCACACTGCTGTGCCAAGGTTGGAGAGAATTTCCATGCTTCAGCAGCACTAGGGGTGTGGTTAAATTTTCGCCTTTTAGTCATCCTGCATGTAAACACCCTGTTCTAAACCAGGTATAGAATGAAAAAAACAAAAAAAACAAAAAACAGTGTTAGTGGCCTTTTTGAAACTGTAGGCTTCCTCCTGACTTGGCATTCATTGCACAGTTGTCGTAGCATGATATTCTGGAGTCGATCACTTGGCTATGTCATACTTGGAAGGTGCTGCAGATAATCTTCGTGCAATGATTGACTCGCACACAATACAGCACTCTGCAGGATCCCTATGCCCTCGGTGCATACGCAGTGCAGCAACGCTGAGCAGCTGTACCAGCCCTGTGTGTGTGCGTGCGCGCATGTGTGTATAATGTGGAGGGAGGGGCCTTTAATTGTTCTGATCTCTGGGTTAATGCCCTGTTAATTTGATACAAATCCCTCAAAACTCTTCTTCCCTACTCCTGTCTCTGTAATTTTACTCTTTTTGTTTATTTTTTGTTCTGTTTCTTTTTTTATTTTATATATAAATATATATAATTTGAACTGTTTAAAAAAAAAAAAAAAAACAAAAACAAAAAACTAAAATCCTTTACGTGCCATAAGCTCTGTTTCCTTTTATTCTTCCCAGTTCTTACCTTGTCTCCCTTTTTTAGATAGTGTCCCTGTCCCCCACATCCCTCCTGAGCAACAGGCACTGAAGTCTGTGTTGTAACTGATTTCATGCAATAAAGTCTTTTTTTTTTATTATATTTCATTTCATTTTACTTTTGCTGCATATACAGAATATATTTATGTTGGTTTCAACCCCTTTTGCCGCTGTTGCCCGCCCCTTACTCCCACCCCCATTGTTTGTTTTTTTTTTGTTTTGTTTTTATCTTGCAGGAGGGTGCTCATTCATCTGTAGGCTGTGGTGGTGACACGCTGCAGAATGGGTGGAGAGTGTGGGGAGGTACACTTTGGCAATACCGGGGGCCTTGTAAGATTGTGAGGGTGATACTTGTTCAGTATTTGCATAGTGAAAAAGGGGCTACCGTGATGCTCTGCAGGGATGGGTATCTTTGGAACTGCTATTCAAATTGCTACCGCTGCCAGAAAGGGTTAAGGCACTTGACTAAAACGAAGTGTAATGCGATGATCTAGATAGCAGAACACTACCAACCTTCCTTTCTCTGAGAATGTTACTGAAGTAGTTTGATCTTGTTCTGGGTTTGCTTTGACCTATGATTGGGCAAACAAGCTGAGAATCGCCCACAGTACTACTAATCAGAACTGTACTGTCCGAGCTGATGGGGCACTTCCACATGTGATGCTCTGCAGTATTTAAAGATCCCTTGAGTCTTTTCACAAAACCCTGCTCTGCCTTTATGATGACATCTGTTCAACAGTGTTCTCTTTTAGGATACCTATATCAGATTGCCTTACTGCCCTCCTGTGGCTGCATCCTGATGTTTCACTTGTGATTTTATTTCACTTTTTATTTTTTTTTTAAGTTTTTTGTACCTTAAGCTTTTGTCTGCCAGTTTTTTTTGTTTTTTTTTCTGTTTACCACACATGAATACAAAAATCAGCAAAGGTCATAATCTATGGTACAGTATATTGTAAATATATGTATTAAATCGTAAACAAGAATTGAAAAGAGGCAGAGTCTTCTCAGTTTGTTACAAACAAGTATTCCATTTTTCCACAATGACTTGCTGTTCTTTGGAATCATTTTAATCTTTGTGTACTTAGTGTAATAGAATAGCTGTGACTGCTACCAATACATGTAAATATTCTACAAAGGTCTCTGCAGAAAAACAGGCTTTTTTTTTTTTTTTCTGTAATAACTAGTGAAAATAAAAGTTAATTATAAACAGGGTATATTTTCTATTTACATTTTGGTCATAAAAATAATATCGCTATGATAAAATCTTTTTTCCAAGTATACGAAAGTATGCAGAGAGTTCAGTATTAAGGTACAGTATACTAGAATTCTGCGCCTTGCAGAGTTTGGAATTACAAAAACCATACAAAACATGAAAAACTGCAGGAGGATGACATCTGAACTCAGACTTGACAGACTAAAGTTTTAAGGAATAAAATCAATACCCAATGAAATTCTGCCATTGCAAAGGGTTTTGCTTTTGCCCGGTTGACTGTGGTTCTAGGCAGAGGTGGTATAGGATTTTTTTTTTTGCTCTTTGCACACCAGTCAAAAGCTTCCGCTTTGGTCTTGGCACACGGTTCAAATGCCTACAGTACATGCATTGCATTTTAGTGGCCATATTTTTCTTTTCACCTTTTCATTTTGTATAATGAAATTAGGTGTACAAATATAAGACACAGTAGCAGTGCAAGTCACTCTTGTATTTGTAGGTAATGCTGGGTATTCATTTTAGAAAATGGTCACTCAATTCAAAAGTTTCTTTCCTCAAGTGAGATCTCTGTACATGTAAAGAAAATGTCTCCTGTAAGAGCCTAAGGGAAGATATTTCAAAAGTTTTTGTTCTTAACGCTTACAGGGATGTTTATCAGCTTACATTAAAAAAATATATATATATGGCCTTTATCATTTTTAAGATTTTGATTTGTTCAAACATTTAATACAGATCATAGTTAACAGTTATACCTTGTAAAACTTGGTTTGGCTCATTTGGTGTGATTTTTATTTGTTTTATATCACTTTTTTTTCAAATTTATGAAATCGCTGTTTGCCTCAAGATGAAAATAGCCATCCATGGTTTTTTTTTTTTTTCCCCCTTTTTAATTGTGTCAAAAATGTGACTTGATAAAACTTTAGGCATGCCCTTGGGGTCTGTTTTTTGATACAGGTTTTGTTGTATTTTTATAGATATTACGATACTAGTTTCTGTGCCCTATATGTAAATGCAGTCATTTGTATTTGTACGTTAAATTATGCAAGTTGTATGCAAATTGGAACTTTTTTTTCCTTTAAATTTATGAGCCAGCCTGTGGTTCACAAGATAGTAACTTACTTTGTTTTACATCAAGATTGGCTTTTTCATTAGAATCGCGTGTACCTGCCTTCTGTTCTGACAGGTTTCGTTTAGGACGGTGGGCTTTTTGTTCACCCCAAGATAAAGTGTTTGCATCACCTCTGTTCTGTATTAT